ACGAACACTATGCAGTGACCTAGAGGGTAACATTATTTGGTCAAGGAGACTAATATTAGAAATAAATGAAAACTGTTTAAGAAAGGGATGAGCTACAACAGCCTAGTTAATTATCGTGTTGCTTAAAAAATTAAACCGATAATCACCTGCTCAACTTATTATTAAGACTAAATTTTTTATTTTAAAATAGAATAATAACCCAATAACTACGAGAATATTTTTAAGGGCCAATAAAATTTACAGAACTTTCATCATTGAAAAAAATTGCAGCTGTAATTTTTGTAAAATGTAAAAAACTACAGAGATACTGCGAATACCTCTATAAAACTATACAAAAAGTCATTACTAAATTATAATAAAAAAATTTTTAATTTAACAGTAATCATATCAATTTAAAAATATATATACTTATTTCTGTTTAAAACCTAAATAATGCAAGTAAATGTGTATTAAAGTTATATAAATATTAGATGAGTAATTTACAAAAAATTATAAATATTTCTTTCAAATAAGATTATTCTCAGAAAGTCATTAGAAAAAATGATCTTATAGAGCACATGTTTTTAATTTCTTAAAATCAAACATGAATTCTTTTAATAAAATTATTGGTTAAAAAGTCTTATAAAGACGCTTTTTAAAGTTTAGAAGCATCTTTTATTAAATATCTCTTCTTAGTAAAAGATGAAAAATATTGCTTCATCCGGTAATCTGTTAAATAATTGTTATAACTTATATTACACTCTTATAAAAATTGTTTGAAAATGTAACTACTTTTTTAGAGCCAAAAATGTTTAGCTTGAATATGATAATTTCAAATAGCTTTTAAAGATAACTTCTTAAAAACAAGTTTAAGTAATTATTTATAACAAGATAAAATGGAGTTAAAATAATATCTGTATCATTATTATTAACAACAAACTTAATAGATTATTATTTAATTCCTGTGAAAAATAATTTAACTCCTAAGTTGAATAAAACCACCATGATAATTAAAAATACCACAACCAAAATAGTTACAGCTTAGCCGACAAATTATTTCATTAAAATTGCTAAAGTATCAATTATTTCAACAGAATGCAGTAGAGAAGTTACAAACTACTAAAAATGAATTATAATAATCTAAAAGCTCGCTTATCTTCTGATGGCGTTAGAAGCGAGGAGCCTATTGTCTGCCCACTTTAAATTATTCATTTAATAACCAATATGGGTTTTTCTAAGTGCCGGCAAATCAAAAGATGTGTAAATAATTTTATAATCAATTAGAGTTTAAGACATTCACAAATTTTTTGACGTATAGGTTTGCAGACTTTTAATATTATCTAATAAACAACTTAGTGCATACCTACTCCAGTTCAGGTTAAATGTGTATGTTTATGAATCCTCCCTAAAATTATGCGACATGCATTAGGTTTAAACATAACATTTATTAACTTTATGAAAGTTTATTCTCTAAAGAATTAGTGTTTTGAGTTTGTATTTTTATTACAACAATAGATAATCTATTATTTTAAAGCTAATTTGTTATTAGTCTATTAAGTAAGCTTTAGCATACAAATTCCATTCATCCTAGTAATTATCTGTTTCAGGGTTTGAGAGATCACCTATAAATTGTAATAAATAGTATATCTAAGTGAATTACCTAATGCGAGTTAAATCTTAATAAACATGTAGAAAGCTATATGTAAAGTTTCGATCTTTTAATTTAAGTTAAACATTGAAAGTTAATGTAACCTATTGACAGTGATAATAGCTAGATTAGACATAAAAATTACTTATTTTTAGATTATTAAAATAAGTTTAAATTCTTACGTTGATTTTACTTTGGAATTCATTATATCTATAACATATATAGTGTTATAAATTGTATATATAGAGCATTGCTAACTCTTCCCTAGTAAATCAAGATAAGAAATTATTAATTTAAACACATAAATAGAGCTGTATGTATACTATTTACGCCTAAATAATCTCTACGCAGCAAACATTTTTTTCTCCTTTTAATTATATTCAGGTGAAATAATTAGTTTTGAAAAAATATGACCACATTGTGCTCAAATGCCAATTGTAGTAATAAAGCGAGGTACAACTACCCCCTGGAACGCAAAGCATTATATTGTTTTAGGTACACTTATAATAAACCCACTTAAGACGTATATAACTTAGTAGAAAGTAAAATTTCCTTCTAAATTCCAAAATTTATAAGATGCAAACTGAAGTATATGGTTAATGTCCAAAGTCAAAAGTGTTTAAAATGTTTTGATAAGCGTCCAAGCTTCAATTTTCCCGGTACTTATAATATAGTTATATGTTTGAAGGAAAAAATAAAAATAAATTTTAATTATTATATTTATTAGGCGAAAAAAAGCCAATGTTCTGCAAAACATGCAAAGAAAAGGAAATGGTCGACGTTATAAACAAAAAATGTATTAAAAATTGTGGAAAACAGGTAAGTAACTAGTTTTGATTTATTAAATACTTAAACCTCATCTTTTTACATAATGTAAAGGCCAGCTTCAACTATCCCAATTGTAAAATTCGACTTTACTGCAAGAAGTGTAAACTTCCTGGAATGGTAGACGTTATTAACAAAAAATGCCTTGGAAATTGCGGAAAACAACCGACTTGGAACTACCCTTGGCAAAAAAGGTATCAGACAATCAAGACTCTGGTGGTAGTTTAACTTACTATTTGCTTAAAATGATGAAGGCCACAGTTCTGCAAATCGTGTAAACTGGAAGGGATGGTGAGTTTTTCAAATAGAATGAAACAGGGAAAATTAGTAAAAGAGTGTAGAAGGACTGAAGCACATCAAGGAAAATATTTTTCTCTTGGAATTGTTGAAAAGAACCCAAATAATATGTATAATAGGGATTGTAATGACATTGACCATGTACACAATGTTAACCTAAGCTTCAGACCAAACTGTAATAACTACATATACAATTATTATTCAGCAAATTATATCATGGAACAGTCGGTAATAAACTTTAAGGGTGTTACTACAAACCACACAAAAAGTGTTACAGAGAAGAAAAAGCAAAAGAAGACAAAAGTTTTCAGCATAAATTATATTCTTGGAGACCAACAACAAAAATAATAATAAATGTTTTTTTCATTTATTAGTTATTTAATGCAGCCGCATTCGCAGCTTACATCGTCATAATTTTAATAGCGTTATCATCAGTTAGCAGTAATTGGGGGATCCAGGTGTCTAGGAAGACCATTGCTTTAACCGGCATAGAAAATTGCGCAGTAGTTTTTAAAAGTGTTGCTTTTGTTGTACTCCAAATCCGGACATGACGGTCTTGCCCGCCAGAGAAAAGTAATTTATTGCTATCGTCGTAATATAAGTTTAGCATGGAATGCTGGTTGCTATGTCCAGGAAATTCTTGAACGACTTTTCCAGTTCTTGTATCTGTTTTAAAAATCTAAAAAGAAATATAAAGCCAGATGGCGGCAAGAGGTAAAAGAAACACTAGTACTCTTCCATCCATAGAAGAGGCTATAATGCCATTACAAGATGTAGTCTTCATGCTACAAATAGTACTTCCATGAGACCACCTCGTAATTACTTTAGGACGGTTACTCCTAATATCCAGCCCGCGAATGCAACCGTCGCGCGAACCGTTATAAAGAATACAACCCTCACATAATCAAGTTATGAGGGGAACAATTTCTTTATATTGCAGCAGGAACGCACTGCAAACTGCTGACTGAACACGTCGCTGTGTCCCAAAAGAATTTGAAGGAGCGGTTGAGAGCGGTAAACATCAAAAATCAGTGCCTGCAATCCACTATTAAAAATTACGTAGCGTATATATTATTACTATTTTGACCCTTCCTGTTGTACCACAAGCTATAAACTGAGAGTAAATATTTGAAAACTCGCATGTCCAAACGGACCGGCGGCCGCAGTTAAATTCATTAGCTTTGAAGAGAAGTGGTTCTATTACATGAGAACATATATTATCTACAACTAAAAAAACCAAAATCTTGTCAAAAAGACCGTTTTTTGTAAAGAGAAAAAGTTTACAGTTTCCGGATGTGTAGGAGTTTCCCAAAAAACATTGGCTTAAGAGACACAATAAATAGTTCAATAACAAATGGTATAAATATAATTTTTAAACGGATACGCAAGTAGAGAAGAGGCCTTTGGAGACCAACGAATTGCCGTTATCTATAGAAAGGCATAAAGTTATAAGGAAATTTAAATGATAAAAGTTATTTGCAAAATATTACGTGTGATTCAGATCCTAGCATACTATGTGAAAGAAAGCTGAAGCGATTTTCATTTTTTTTTAAAAGTTCAAAAACGCTTTCAACAATAAAAAGTAGAGCAAACAATAATTTAGAGTTTATATTAAATAGATAGGTAAATTACGTGAGGCGATCACGATCTGCAAAGGCAAAATATTGCTGTTGCTTATCTACCTGCCAAGTTATTGATAATATTCTAGTAACCCATGCAAGCTATACAATCCAAAAGTTGAAAAAAAAAGAAGGAAAAATGCCCAAATATAACTCCAAATTGTTAAAGAATTAAAAAACTTTATACAAAGTACTTCTAGCCACCCAAACACTGTATATGTACCTGAAGATCGTTAATGGGAGAAGTGGAGGAAAGTAATAAATTATCTTTTTTAAATAGAGACACTATTTTTTCGGGCGTAACTCTGATATATAATGAAAAGTTCGTGTTTATAGGAAAAATTTTAAAAGGAAACTAGTTATTGTTGCCTAAAAGTAGGTTCCAATTGTGAACGACGAGTTAAGTGATATACAGAACATCTCTGTGGAGATGTAAGTAAGTAAAGTTTCACAATAATGAATAGTTAAATAGAGAAAAAAGAAGTACTCGATGGAATAACTCTCTGTATAGAGTTGTCCTATTTTCAAGTAATGATTTGGTCTTAAATCCTATTTCAGCCTTTAATAAAGGTTTGGTATTTTGTAATATTTTAAAAAATCTTTTTTTATCTGGATCAAAATAAAAGCCAGGGATGTCCTTTATATTCTTTTTATCGCGATCGTACTGGGAACAAGAACTCGAAGAAGGCTCCGAAGCGGGTTTAAAGTTGCCTGTGCTATCTTGTTTTGTCTGTTTACATTTTTGCTTATGAGATTCTTTTTTAATACAAAATTTTTTTTTTCTCCTTTTTTTACAATTTTTTTCAGAGGAAGGATAACGTTCTTGCGAACAGTTAGGCTTACTCCCCCAAGGCCGCATAAGTAAATTACCACATATACAATGGTCAAAAGTTAAGTAAGAATTCTGCGATGAACAAAGTCACTTAACAAAGTAAATACTCGCAACGTCTCCTGACTAAGCTAAGTGCCTCACCTCTGTACAAAAAACGTGTGGGGCAGCCACTACCGCTAGCTTTAAACCTAGTAATTATTTTGAGCTCTTCATTATTATATTTCTTGTCTTAGGAGTTATCAGGTAATAAAAGTTTAAACCTTCTTAATCGCCGTTGATCAAATTAATATTTTTATATATTGGTTTTAAAATATTATTTTCAATAGTATCTTGAAAACAACCCTCGTATCCTTTTTTTTTTAACTTGTTAAGATAACTTTACAATATGCCACTCCTTTTCCCCTTGCTTTCTGAATTATTTTTGCCTCACCATCACGTTAAAAAGTAAGTGCCGAAAAAGCCACTCAAGGCTTTATGTCCAGTTATCGTTGTCATTAGCGCATAATTGAAATTGGGGTTTATTAATAAATAAAAAATTTAAAAAAAAAATAATTGTCAAAAACATGAATTGTTTTGCAATGTTGCTCCTCTCCAGCATGAGAATGAACATATTTGAGATAAATATAAAGAGAATTTTACTAATAAATACTTAAACACACGCAAAGAACGGAATCAGGCTCAAAAGTCATCCCTTTAAAATGTTTTTATTAATAATATATGGAAGACGTTGTGCTTCAATTTCAATATATTAATCTAATATGAGTGTAAAGCGAAGTTGCTACCTACTCATTTTACAACTTCATTGGTAGAAGCTAAATCGTTATAAAATTTTACCTTCATTTTGCTTAAATGATGGTAATAATTGTAATACTAAATTAAAAAATACCAGATAAGTATTTTTACTTTTATATGAGACTATACATTACTTTAACATACTATATTCGTTATTAATTAAAGTCAGTTAAACTGTTCGGTAGAAGCTTAGCCATTGTAAAAAATATTTTCACATTGCTTTATTAATTTTAATAGCTTAACAATTTTAGTTTTTTCTTAAAAAATGACTAAACGCGTTCTTTTACTCTAATATGAGGTTATACACTTTCATATAAACTTTATTTTTTTAAGACAGTCAAAGAATTAAATTTTCCACGCGTCGACCCAAGCTTTTATGGATTTAAAATTTTCCGACAATTCCTTTTCGGTCGAATTGCTCAATTCCATAATAATTTCACTTTTATAACAAGCTTTTGCTTCTTCTATTAAAACTTGCATAATTTCGCATTCCTGATTGTTTAACAATTTCCTTTTGGAATATCCTCTTAAATAATATATTAAAGCCTTATAATTATATACTTCAAAAATATAACCGAGTCTTTAGCCTGTCATATAATTGCTCAGTGGAACATCGCAAAACTACAACAAGATCGAACCATCTTTCAGGAAACAATTCACAAGAATGGTAATCAACTACAGCACCTCCAGGGCGCAGTAGTTCCTCCAAAGAATCTAAGCACTATTTAAGCAGATTACTACCTTAAATTAACTCGAGCAAAAAAGAATCGTATAAAGGTCATAAAAGTATTTAAAAAATTGAAACCGAGTCTCAGCATAAGTAAATGAACAAGCTATCCGGTAAATTAAAGAGAAAACCGTAAAAACAGATAACAAAATAAATAAAAATAATTGTGTTAATAAATATTAACTACAGTTAAGCATTATTCAGCAAACAATTAGTACTATAAGACATTATTACAGTTACTCCTAAGGTAAAGTATTAACTATAGTAAGCTTGTTACTCACTTTTAGGGATAAATAAAACTTTATCAAAAGAATATTTTTTTCTCTAAAAAGCATTATGCAGAGCAATTTATGATAACAGCAATTACAAACACAAAGCAGTTAAGAATGCAAATAAAAATTTTATAAAAACAAAAACTAGATAAATTATAGCAAAAATACAAGAAATAAATAATTTAATAAACTTTGTCTTCATCCAATACATATGAATCAAACTCTTCATCAAAACTAAGAAGCCAGTTATTTTTTATCGATAACTTACTGACGTCGATATGCAAAAAACCTAACAAAAAAGTTAAATAAAGAAAGAGCCCTGCAAAGAAAAATATTGAAATAAAAAGGAACATTAATATCTTAAAAGTGTTAGCTTTAAACGACTATGATATCATAAATAAAAAGCACCAAAACTTAATTAACTGAGACTGGAAGCGAGGGACTTGGCCAAGGTAGACTTTCCTGTCCCAGGCGTTCCAGTAATTAAAATGTTTGGCTTTTCTCTCTCAATTAACATTATTTACAAGAACTTAACATTGTTAAATAAAAAATATTTAAAGAAACGAAATCCTTAATGTTACATTAATAACAGCACAAAAGTATATTTGTGAACAAGCACGCAATGTAAACTCATGCTCCCCCTTTCTTTGAAAGGTCATGCCGCTAGCCTTCACAGGTGATAAATTAATTTTGTCGGTCATTTTGTTTAGTAAGCCTTGTTTTCTCATTTGTTTATTTATCTCCTTAAAATATAGAAGCCAAAATATAGTTTACTTTACCCCTACTTACAATTTTATTTCTAGTTGCTCATTCAACTTTTTCTAAATTGCTATTACAACCAACAACTTCACTACGCGAGGGATAGTTCTCCGTTTATTTGGCAGGGAGCTAACTGCTATCAGAGTGAAGGTCAGAGTCTCTAGAAGGCCTCGAGTTCAACACTCAGTTCGGGCCTATCTCTACTGATGACAACCAATGCTATATTACTAATGCTAACCGAATAGTGTTGAGGAAAAGATCCAGTTTATAAGTTTTAACGAAATTACCAATTTAGGTAATTTTATGATTATTATCGCTTATTCCATTGCATAGTTATTAGATATAATGAAGGATCATGAAAAATAAACTGGCAATTGTGTTAATTTTTTAGTGCTCTTTTTGTTTTAGTCACATCTGTACATCTCTCTCTCTATATATATACATCTGTTTACAATTAATTTAAAAGGGCTTAAAGGTTTAGATACCTGTCAGTAAAGCTTTAAATACTCTAAGAAAGAGTCTAAATATTTAAACCATAGATTATATTAAAGGGAACATACTATTTCCATGGTTAGTTTTTAAATTTATGTAGGAAACAAGGGGGCTGTATCAAGACAGTTGCGTAATGTTTTTATCACTAAAATACACGCCAGTTCTCTAGGGCATTTAACGCTTAATCAGCAATCCTTAGTTTTTAGGGTTATAAGTATACGTGCATGCAGGTATTACTCTCTCATAGGAGCATTATAACTGTTTTGCGCGGTAAATCCGACCCGAGCCCCTGTCATTCGGCACAGAGTGATGGGAATACAGATAAATATTATTTTTTGGCTAATTGTGTTTTTTATATTAAAAAAAAGCTTTATTTATTTGGTGCCTGTTGGAAGGAAGAGATAACTCTGAATTACCTTATTTAACAGTTTTTGGTTAAATGGCATCTATGTTTTATATAGACTAATTATTATTACTACCAATTCGCTTATAAATCAAGTAATTATTTAAACCAGCTTTTTTATTTTACTTACTAAATAAAAGAGAACATCAGAATTGTAATTTATCGTTTTAGATGCGGGTATTTGTTGTAAACCTTGGTAATAAAAATAAAAAATATTTCTTCATGTCTCAAGTTGCGCTGTTCCCTTGTAATGTCCAATAGTAGTTAGTGAAAATAAGTCCCGTCTAGCACAGTCCTAAAAATGCCAGCACTAAACTTATTTTTTTGCTTTGTCGTTTTCTCTTCCTCTCTCTTTAGCAAGTTATATCATTTTTTTAACTTTATTTTCATTGTTATTCTAATAAGAAAAGTAATAAATTAAAGTTATATAATTCCATAAGCCTTACTTAACTTCTTTTATCCACGTGTGAAAATTAAATATTCACCTATTTTCACGAAGAATTATCCTGTGCAAATACTACTCAGAGTTGTTAATTAATTTTTTCGTCGTTAGACAAATTTCTTTTATACTTACAGAGGTCGGTAAAAATAATTAAATGAAAAAAATAAAGAATACAAATATGGATATTCTCGAAGAAAGTAGAAATCAGGGTATACTTTTAAAAATGTGTTATTAAGCGGTGACCAGAATATTTTAAAAACAAATAGTAAAATCGCTTAAAAGACTATATTTATTTTATAGAAAAAAGTTTATTACTTTAAGGCTTTTAATTAAGTTCTTAGTTATAAACAAGTCATTATAGCCATGAGGACAGATTATTTCCTACTTTAAAAATAAAGGATTCGAATTTATTTATACTAAAACCGTTTGCTTCAAACTTTTTGAAATTTTATATTCCAAATAAAGATTAGTAGATAAATTTAATTTTAACAACAGGAATGTTATCATTTTCTTTTCTTTTTATAAGCAAAAAAATTAAATAAATGTATCTTGGAAGAGCGACTAATTTAAAACAAGTTAGCTTGTTTGCGGGTGGCTTTTGTTGTGGCGACTAAAAACATTATTATTTTAATAATTAAACAATTCATGTGTGAAAAAAAAGGCTGGTGTCATTTATTTTTGATAAAAAAAAATTATTTTACTAGACGCTTGCACATCCGCTGGCACGCTAAAGTAAACCATTACAGCTGATCGGCGTTAGCCTTCTGTAACATTTAAGTAATGGCCTCATGGGGAGTACAACTCAAAACTTACGGCTATGAGGAGCGTTACCTTTGTAACTGCAAACACAAGCAAGCTTGAAGAAGTTAAAGCTATAGCTTCCGATTTTTTAGAAATAAACAGTGTTTCTTTGGACTGTAAAAACTATAATACAATATTTACAACTGGCATAATCTAAATATTACTTTGGCTGTATTAATAGTGCCAGAGTTGCAAGGAGAGCCGGAGGATATTGCCAGAGCAAAGTGTAAATTTGCTTCGAATGAACTGGGGGTGCCTGTTATTACGGAGGACACTTCTCTCTGCTTCAACGCGCTAAGCGGTCTACCTGGACCCTATGTGTGAGTAATTTAATTGAGAACACCGTTATAAATAACATTGCTCCCAAGGAAATGGTTTTTAAGCAAGATTGGCTTAGAAGGACTAAATAATCTTCTGGCTGCCTACAAAGACAAAACGGCCTATGCCGTGTGTATATTTGCCTATTCTCCAAGTCCTTCCTCTGAACCTGTATTATTTATCGGAAAAACTGAAGTATATTATAATTTATATGAACTTTCACTTAGTTATTGAAGCTCTTTATAAATTAGACAAAAGTTGACTTTTACTTCTCTTTCATTTAAGCTTATATTTCATGATTTTACGAAATTTTTTATCACGAAAGGGAACTATTGTGCCTTCTCAAGGGCCTTCAAACTTTGGTTGGGATCCCATATTTCAGCCAGCAGGCTTTAAAAACACGTAAGCCAAAGCTTTTTCTATTATTTACTTTACATAAGTTAATAAAATACAGTTACGCTGAATTGGCCAAGTCCGAAAAAAATAAAATTTCCCACCGTTATAAAGCCTTAGAAAAGTTAAAAAGTTTTTTTCTTCAGTTTTCGGGAACTGAGTAAATAGTTCAATATTCTTTCGGGTAAATATAAACCTTTCTGACAGTTTATAAATTATTTATGAATTTAGGTTTGTTTTTGTTCATAAAGTTATAGTAATTATAATATTGTTGGCCTTTATGATTTATTAAAGACAAAAAAAAAACTTAATTTTTGAAATTTAGTATAAACCAAGTTATTTACCGCCCACTTTGAAATTTAAATTTTATGATTATGCTGTTATAACGGAAATGTAATAGAAACCAAAAATAAATCTTTTTTTTCTGACTCATTTAGAGCTTTTCAGAGGCTAGCTCGTATGGAATAGCAAAAAATATAACTAGCCTCCCTTTTTATTAAAAATCTTTTTCGCATTACGATTCTCCTTTGCGGAATTAGAGTGAAATTCTCTTTTGCAGCGTGGCTGAATTACATTGAGTAATAAAAATAATTGCAAACTTTTAATAAATAAAATTTATAATTAGTGTTAACTATAAAAATCCGCTATCAAATTTGTACTAGAAAGTACAGAAACATATATAGTACTCTACCGCATTAGCAAATCCCAATATAAGCTTTTTAAGTACAGTTAAGGTCACACCCTATAATCTCAATAGGTAAGACCAAGTATTGTAAATTTAAAGCTGGTTAATAAGAAAAAAACTTGAAAATTACATTTCTGCATTGTGGTAAAGCAACTCAAATTATACTGTTAACAGAAACAAGTCTTGTCATTTTGGTTTTTAGGGTGGTCTCGTGTATTGGTTGCTACGAAACCCGTTTTAGAGTTTTTTTCAAATTATATAACTTAAATTTATAGTTTACTTGTTTCCAAGAAGCTAGATCTGCGCTAGATAAAAAATTAAATTTCGTCTTAAATAGGTTTATCAAGAAAGGTAGGGCCGACAAACTCTTTGTCTGAATAACTTAGTTTAGTAAAAAAGGGCTCGAAAGAGTTAGCCTTCCGAAGAAAAACCTGTAAGAATTGATGTAAAGAAAAACGCAAAGAATGCAGGGTCGCTGGAGCGGCTCTGCACTAAGGAAGTTAAAGGAAGTAAAACAAGTTGACTAATATAGCAGTTTCCATTATTTTTGCATGGCTTAAACTGCGTTACTTCAAAAGCTAAGTGGTAAATTTATGGTTTTTGCTATGAATTGAGCCCATACTAAAGATAAGCTGAATGCTTTTTCCGCTATTAGTTAATAGGTGTGTATCTTAAAAAGTAGAAAATAAGCCATTTAGAACGAAGCTAAACTCTTTTTTACTAAATTTTTAATTTTTAATAATTTGTTGTGTTCCAGTCCTAATTAGGATTTTATCTATAAAACTTTTTATAATACAAAATATGTAATGTTATGTATTTAGCTTCAGCACCAGCACTAGCTGTGACATATTGGTAATTATCACAAAATGTGATCGCTTATCGTAGTTGGCAAATTTTATTTATGGAAAGTAGTTGGCCAAATGTATTACCACGCTAACTTTTCTTCTTTTTATTTCCAGTTGTGCACCTGCACGGCATATTAATGATGTTTTGGGAAAATGTATGTGTTACTTTTTCCTTTATTATAGTTTTAAAGTAGTGTTTGCTATATTGTAAGTTTTAGTGGATATTTTTTTAGGCATCCAATGTTATTTGCTCAAAACTCTTTTTTTATCATGAAGGGTAACGTACATCTTCCAAGTTGCTAATGTTACAGGGTTATGTTTATAGCTTGGGTTCCTAGTCTATCCATTGAATAGCCTGAATGAACGTTATTTAAGTTTTTGTAGAAACCGTTATAGGTTTTTAAAGTTATTTTTTGTCCAGTGTTTGGGGTAATTTATTGTACAAGGATGTTCATAGTTTACTTTGTCGATTCTGCGCTTCAACCATGTTTTAAAATGTGTTATTAGACCTTGGGTTTCGGTTATAAAATTGTTCGCCTGGCCTATATATTGCGAGTACTTCTCTATTAAAAAAGAAGTAATGCTGTATAAACTTGTAATTGGTTCCCAGAGCACGACTATAGTAAGGACAGGGGCTAAGATAACACAATGCCCAACGTTCTGCGCAAGACCAGTCACTTATAACAGCTTGAAAACTTTTTAAAGAGCCCATGTGATTTAAGACCTTCCGATATCTAAAAAGATCGTCATGATTTTCTAAAATTAGTCAAAAGTCCTCAATTCTACGTGACGCGAGTGATAATATTTAAATACTTATTGCTATAGTTGTTATATTTTTTGTTCCTTGCCTTATGAAACCAAAAAAAGAGTGTATACGTGCAGTGGATTATTTTTATTGATTTAGCCTAGTTATATTTAACGTTATCTTATTGTTTATCATATTACCCGCTCAAAAAGTATATTATGCTAAGTAAATTAAACAATAGATATACATTATCTTATTGGTTACATTATATATTTCAATTTTACATAAAGGTTTATCGCTCGTTTACTGAACATGAAGAAGAGCTTAAAATTTAAAAAAGACCCTGAGACAAACAGTTTCAAACACCATCCAAGTACAGTAGTTTTCCCGTTTTATATTTATCCGGACTTTGGCTCCTCAGGTATGCAATATTTGCTTAGAAAGAACCTTTTAAATCTACTCTCTTCGTTTTCTTCTCCTGGTTATTCTATGTGTAGTCTCTGCTTGGCAAACTTTATACGAAAGTGCTCTTGACAATAGCCTTCAGTTCATCGTTATTATTAATCCTAACGACGGCCCAGGCTTTAAATTAAATCTTGGTAAATTATTTATCCTTCTTTTTGACTTATAAACTTAAGTCAATTGTCTTATTTAAAATTATTTTTTTAAAGAATACCAACTTGGATGCGAAAAGTTAAATAATTTTGTAAAGGTATTCTTTAGTTGCAGTATACACATATAAAATATTCACATATGACATATGAAAGCTCTTTGGTTATGTTAGCACTACTTATGGAACTCGAGACATGCAAGAAGTTATTGAAGATATCGAAAGATGGGTGGTTTGGTATAGTATTTCAGGGTTTGTCCGCTTATTTGTTATGCCACCTACATCGCACTTAAAAATTTTTTTAATTTTTTAGACTATTTCTGGATGAGGTAACCAGTCATAAGCAAGATTTAACATACTACCGGCGTCTTTGCAGTTTTATCTGTTTTTCTACTACTTTTTCCCGTATTATAGAAATTAACATATATTTACTAGATAGTAAATATGGAAAACTTTTTCAAATAATGTTAAATCCTGGTACAGACCATTTTTATTAATTATAAAACTGTAATTAACTTATCCCATTTTAATAAAGGGCGAGTTCCCCATGAGGATTACTTTAGACTTTGCAACTATATAGTTACGTTTGAAAACTTCTATTCTAACTGGAACAAAGAAAATCTTTATCAATACGACGGTAGTACCATCAAACACCACCACTTTTCGGGTCCAATTTAGATAAATGTGTTTTCGTCTAAAACATCCTTTTTATTTATTTATTATAAGTTAATTTTACAAAATACCAAAAGATGCTACTTTCTATAAAATAAAATTAAATTGCTCAAGCACTTGTTGTTTTTTCCAATTTCGCAATAGTACATTAATAAATATTATTTATAAAATAATTTATTTTATCAATATCTTTTTAAATTAAAAAATATTTAAACGAATGTTTCATAAATTTTTGCACATATCCAAGGAGAAATTGGGTTTTTTTTTAATAATCGACGAGATGTAAAAAAAAAGTTTTTACTTTATCTTTTCTATTTAATAAGGGAATTTTCCAAAACCAAATCTTATCTTCCGTCTAAAGCAAATTTAAACTATTATCTCTCTGTAGAAGTTTCGAACTATTCAAATATTGTTTTTTTAAGTTTAACTTGATAGTTTGTGAAGTACGTTAGTCTTACACGTTCATATATACTTTATAATCATAATATTTAGTAAAACTGTTAAGTAACTTGGAATTAATAGCCAAATTAAAAGCATATATTAATAAATTTTTTAAGATTACAACAAATCTTAACCCGCCTTTAACTCGGAATTTAATTCTGCTAAAGAAATATTTTCGTTCTCGGAAATTTTATTATGATTATGTTTTAAATAAGTTTATTAATCTTGAGCTTATATAGAACTATGAAATATTAATTTTTGTTTAATAAATTTATATCACTTTATATTAAGTAAACTATAATATGAATAGAAGAATTAAATACTGATTTTGAGTGCTGCACTCAAGTGGCTTTAATACACTCTTGCCCTTCCGAATTTGTCATGAAGAAAGCCTTAAAACTTTGTAAAGTAAGAAAGGTTTCTTAAAATTATATATATACTTCCACCAATTCTATTTTAAATTTTATTTTGCTTGAATGTATATATAAGCTTCGCGCCATATTTATAACGAACGAGAAGATGCCTAATCCGTGGAATAAAATTCCAAAATATTGGCCTCAGTTTTTATATAATTTAAAAATGCAGCAATAAAATTTAAAAAAAGTTTCATAACTTATGTAACGTTAATAAAATAATATTTAAAAAATACCCTTTATTCAGTAATTTAATCACAAAGCCTATAATACATGGTTTTTAAGCTTTAAAATAATAAGTTTATGCTCCGCTATAGTTTAAAAAATTAACAAAAATTGCTTTAAAACTTAAAAGTTCAATGTTTTATATTACAATAGAATTGAGAGTCGACATGGTACTTATACTTAATTTGTATATAATACTAACCCAATACAAAAAAATACTAACTAAAACAGCGTTCATTTTATAATAAAAATTAAAAAACAAAAAAAATAGTAGGGCCACAAGTCCAAAAAAAATAATTAGAATATTTTTATTTATAATAAGTGCATGGTCTTTTGGCTATAAACTTGGACTTGTGCTCTTTAGAGCGCTTTATGACCCGATGAGGAAGCGGAAATTTCAATTTCGAGTCGTGAAATTGAGTAATTTGAGGGCGTCTGCACTTTCCAGCGGGGATCTCGTCAACCCGAATAATATGGATGGAGCGAGCACGGCAGCGGTGTCTGGCGGCCAAATCCTGGTAGCACTGGGCCACAGCGCCAGTCGCAGTAATATCACGGAACTCTTTGTAGATGTTATGAGTTCCAGAACGAGAATCATAGCGCAGGAATATACTGTAGTTTTTAACCCGATCAGGTTTTTTCTCAAAAATCTGTTTAAAAGTTAACTTTTTACTGAAATTGTAATATTATATATATATACCTCGATACAAGAAACAATTTCGCCTGTCATTTTTTTAACTTTATTCACCTTTTTTAAGAAATACCTTAAAAATAGAGGAAAGTAAAAAATGACTCAGAAAACCTTGTGCTCAACCAAATACAATAGTTATGAAAAGACTAGATAAGTTTTACCAGAATCTAGACTTTGCAATAACAGGGTTTGGTGAAAAAAGTCGCATTCGGTAAAGCTTCGGTTTAGGATCGGTATCTGTGGGTCTTTTGCGGCCCACAACTTGATACTCATGAAGCTTAGTTGAAAAAGGCATAACTTCAAGTAAAAAACTAAAAAAATTATAAATTATGATATAACAGAAGTTAGAGAACAGTGAGTATAAGATAAAGAAGACTCATAACGAGTCGTTAAATAATCCTAAAAATATTACAGATAAAATTATTTTGAATTTTTAAATGTTAATATAATATTAAGAAAAAAAAAAGGAAATAATCTAAAGTATGGGGCCAACATTATAGATATAAACTGTATAAAAGATCCAGTAAAACTCACAGTAAGAGCGAACTAAAATAGAAGCCCAGTAAGAACCTAGCTAAAAATTAACCATCAACTGTCACGAGGAAATTCATTTATAGGGTGGGACAATTCTGGTGCTCGATGGTTAATAGTAACCTTCGAATTCTCGGTCTGTAACGTGAATAGTCGCCTTAAAGTACAAGTGCCTCAAATGAGGTCAAGTTTTCTTCGTAAAAAACTTTTTTTTCTACTTCTCTACCCTTATGCCTTTTAACCAAACAATGCAAAAATAATTTATAAAATTTAAAAGGTTTTATTTATAAAAGAAGGATCAGCGGGGCTTGCTAATTATTCTTAAGGACGATAACGTCGCATTTAACAACCTTATAACGGACCATGTATCCGTCATGCCGTACATTCAGTTTACCTTGTCGTTCTTAGAGAAAAAGCTAGTGCCAGCGAGTATTACACCCGGGCTGAGGACAAGTATCTCAAGACGGATAGATTGTTTGGTATATCCATACTTTCTCTCGCAACGAACGTTTGCATTTAATAACTGTATACATAGTTTACTAGGAGCCACTACAAAAGCTTAAAAAAAAATAATTATTATTACTAGGTACCTACTTTAAGGCAATAGAAAAATTATCATCTCGTTATAGGTCGACGGCTTCGGTAGCGCGCTTCGTTACTTTACTGCGTTAATAGAGCGGTTCTCTACCGGCCCCACCAAGCCCTTGCGTCAAGCTAAATTTGCAAATGCTGGCATACTAGAACGGCCAACTTTATTCAGCGGACTTCCATTATACATTTTGCATTTTCTTTATGGAAGAGGGCGATCAGCTGTTTGGAGGAAATTTTAACGGAACTCATATAAAACATCGCGCCCATTAACAGTCGCTTTTAGGCAGGTTGGATAGAGTTGCCTCGGAGCTTTTGCCGATATTTTCGATAGCATCAGGTCAGTCGTTATTGTTAATTTCCCCGATAAAGGACTGAAGTTATGAAAAAGTTGACAGAGAAGTTATGATAATTTAGCGCCAACAAAGGCATATGTCCATTTAATCAATAAGGACCTACCTCCGAATTGTTTCTGCTTAGTGTGTATACACAATGAAAGAATTGTTTTTAACTAATCTATTTCTTTAACCACCCAGCTCAATTAAAAATTTTTTTTATACTAACTTATAACCCATGATATGATTACAAAGTCAATAAAGCAACCAATTTAAGATATATTATTTATTCGTTCTGAGTAAGTCTTTTATTATAATTGTGACTAAAAGTTTTATTTAAGATTGTATTTTTAACAACTAAGTATTGCGAAAACCGCTATACAAAATTATTAAATTTCGCTTACCAAACACCTTCTTGCAAAATTTTAGGAATACCGTGGAGTATTAAAAAATACAAAATACAGCACAATAACATTTAAAGCAAAACAAAAAACACTAAACATTAACAGAAAACAATACTATTATAACACAAAAAAAATACATTTACACGAAACATATAACACTTTTTAAAATAAAAGGAATTAATAATTATAAAAAACTAAAGCGTTAAGTAAAGCAATAAAGCTTTACATACGACATTTACAAATGAAATAACACATACACAGATAAATATTTGGTATAATAAAGCTTTGATAAACTAGAGTATAGCATAAGCATGTAATAATGTTTTTTTGTGTGCTGTGTGAAATAATTCATGTACAAGCCTTATAAAAATGACTTCCGGCTCATGGTTTACTAAATAAAATGGCATAGTAACCTTTAACGGTTAAGAAAAAAATACAGTATTGTAATAGTTAGCTTTGTATGAAAAACTTTTGAATACTTAAAATTTTTCTCAATAGGGCTGCGTTAATGCTAATTCACTCAGAAATGTTTTGTAAAACTTCAGCAATTAGATGTGTTAAAAAAAATAATAATCTCAGCAGTTGCGACTATTGTTTTTTAAAACGTCTCTAATCGTATTTATGTGTTTAGCACTTAAACAATTATTTAAAGCTTACCACCTAAAGTTCTGATTCTGTTCCCTATTTTGTATTTGAACGCACTCAATTATTTCTTCTATAAGTTCCCTTATCTTCTACTGTTGCCCGTTTTTAAGTTTTATTCTCACCTGCACACAGCTCTAATTTGGTTGTGCCTTAGCCCCATTATTGTTTTAAAATCTTAGTTGGGTCTTTCCTCCATACTTGCTCTAGACTTTTATTAGATTATGTTTAAAATATCTAGTAAATCTGGTATAGTATTCCATTGGTTCTCCTCTAGGCTACTAAGTTATTTATTAATTTCGACTAAAACGCTCTCTATTTAGTCTCTGTTCTGGCCCTCTGGACTAAAACTATTTTATACCTTTAGAACCGCTGACCCTTTAGACCAAAGTAAACCTCTAACAATAAAGATGCGGTTGAACACCCAAAAAAAAGGAAAAGCAGAGTACGAAAAATGGACGAGCTAACCTCACATATGAATGCAATTTAATTAATATATACTAATACAAATTGAATAAGCTACCTTAATTAATCAAATTTTTTAGCCGTGCTGTAAGTTAATTAAATACTAAATAGTTTACCTTTTTTTTTCTATATTATCTATATTAATCTCCTAAAAAGTTAAATTGGAAGTGCGCTTATTATTTAAATAAGAATTTAAAATTTCAGGGTAGTAACACTGCACCTTAACTTATCACCTCAGCGGTTTTAAATCGTTAACAAGGGAGTATAAACAACAAGAAAAACAAAGGGCTCTTCGTTACTGAATAGTACTCTGAAGCACCCAAAAAGGTAGTTCGTGATATACGTTAGAAATGGACTTAACACGCAACACCGTCGCTCAGTGTGAAAAGCTAACTTTGCACAATACCGCATGCTGGAAACGTAACTCAACAATTTTTAACTTATTCTGGGTTACGGAGAAAATTAAGGACTTTGACTCGAGAATCCGATGTTCGATGGCTCGACTAAGCATTATAAGAAGACATCTACAAGTAAAACGAATAAAATCAGTATATTTAATTTCTATATAAAACCTTTTATTTGAGTGTAGCTCATTATAATTTAGTTAACCTTATTTTAATAAAAGTTAAAACGAAAAATTACATTGATAAATCTACAATACATATTGATAGCTGATTAAAAAGGCAACAATATTGCGCGGTAATAGAAATAAAAATAGTAGTGGAACAATAACGCTGGAATTAATAGACAGAAGTCATTAATCTTCAAAAAAGGGAGCTATTAAAAGGTTGCAAAATACGGCTTGTGCATACATAGCTGAGATATTACACAGTTCATTGGAGAAAAGTAGAATATTATTCTCGATATATGTAGTTTACTAAAAAAATTATAGTTTTCTTATGGCATTAGTCTAGCTAAATTTGTATATATGCAGGCAGAAATTCCTTTGCTTTTGTTGAGATGGTTAATCACATTTAATGTCACTGGGTTAGTCACTTAAATAAAGTGTACTAAATAATTATTTACACTTTAATCCTAGTCATTACCATTGTTAGCGTCAGTTCATTAACTAAAGCTATGCTTAAGACATGAAGGGAAAGTGAAAACATTATAATTGAAATGTTACACCTCCACTCGATCATTAAAATGAGGTTGTAGGTGCATCTTACAAAACAGTATAGACTAAGATTAAAGACTTCTTTGTTCCACATGTTTAACAATATTAGTTATATTTTTAAAACACCTTAGAAAATATTGAAATACGAGGTTAAGTGGGTTTTACCGTAAATGATAATTACCTTTTTAACTTAAGTTATTTTGGCCGTACTTTTAACGTTTTTTATTGGAATTACTAACCTTTTATTTACCTTTCGCAAAACTCGGAATTTTTATTAAAGTACTTAATATTTAGTGTCTATCTATTAGTCGGTCAGTCAGTCATAAAGAACAAACGCTTTCAAACGTTCAAAGAAAAAGCTCTGGTAGCCAATACGTTACCTGAGGGGCGGCCCCAGTCCACGTTTTCTAAAGATGGCACAACTTTAATAACCGAGTTAACTGTTACTTATTGTTTACATTTTCTTCTAAAAAAGATATGTCACTAGCTTTTCTTTCTTTACAATCTTTTAGATGGAATTTAAGGTTTGTTCATGCAGTTTATATCAGTATAACTATTAAAAAATTTTTGTTTTTTGCATGTTCACTTTTTATGTTTGAGCTATATAATTTTCTACGTAAGGAGATTCGCTACCTCACAGAGGAAGTCCTTGAATTTTACATTAAGAACTTATTCTTCAGCTGTCGATCAAACACTTGTTGACGTAGTAGAAAAAATTGCAAAGTTTAATTTGCTACAAGTCGCTGAATTGAATAAGTTACTTAAAGTATAGTGGCTTATTTTATTTACTTTTAAGATTAAAGGATATACTATTAAAAAAGGAACGGCTTCAGATTGACGATGTACCGTTTATGGCACAGAGTTCAGCTCCTGGTTCAACTACTAGTGCCGCAGCACAACCTACAGAGGAGGAGAAAAAAGAATTTTGCGTAAAGCTGGTAGGATGGACAGATGCAACTCAAAAGGTATATGTACTTTTATATAATTTACTTATTTTTTTTAATTTTTTTTTAGGTTGCTTTAACTAGGGAACTAAAAAAACATTCACCACAACTAAATTTGGTTCAAGCGAAAAAATGTCTTGATAATTGCTCGACCACTCCTCATATTGTTAAAGGTTTTTGATAAATAATATTAGAGTTAACGTTAAGCTTTTTTATTCTGTTTATTCAATAGAAAATATTCCTATCCAAGAGGCGGAGAAATTGAAGTCGGAACTATCTGCTTTGGGTGCAACAGTTGTTTTTGAATAGAGAAGCATTTTCGTGGCATTTGTATTTAGTGTTCTTTGTGATTTACGATTTATTATTTAAATAAAATTTTACCTTTATTTAAGTTAATTTTTTTCCCGGTAATTTAAATTTTAAATCGGGCAAATAATAGCCCCTCGTATAGTAAAGATTGCAATTTTCTGTTTTCTTTTATAATTTTACAGGTATAAGTAAATAAATTTAAGCAGTTTGCAATATATAATATAATTATTAAAATTTGAACTAAGTCTTGTAAAAACTTTTTAGAAATATGATATTAGTATACTGACAAAGTCCTATTACATAGGGTAACTTTACTTTAACTTCTGTTATTAAAAACTATTGCTAAACGCACACTCTTGCTTATCACCTACTTCACTAGCGACCAAGCTTTAATTGGTAAATCGCAGTACTATAGCTTTTTATTTGTAAGTTTTGACGAGTCATATAGTGGTAAATTTACATATTTGTATTTAGAGCACAGAATTTAGCTTCGCTTATTATCTAAAGTTAAATATGCAATAACTGCGAGTTAATAAAACCTATAAAAAAAATTTAACAAACACCTTTCATTTAAAAAAAAAGGAATTTATATATATGTTATTATAAAAGTCAATAAAAAAAATATAAAACTGTCCTATTCTTATGCAAATTAATTATAAAACTTTTTAAGGGACGCTACATATTTATTAGTAATTCAGATTTACTTTATAATTTTATAAGCTCTCAAGTGTTGGGGCCTAAGATAACTTTAAATTCCAAACTTTTAAATAATCCTTATTACGGCAATAATGTAATATAAAATAAGATATAAACACCTCTGCAGCGCACACCAAGCGTTTTGACGAAGCCTTTAAGCAAAAAATAACTCATTGCTTAAAACTAAAGCTCATCGCAAGATTTGTTGTCACGTGTCACACTAGGAACAAAAATTACTTTCACTGCATTTTTTTGTATTAAAAATTAATAAAACTTTGTATTCTATGATGTATACGAGTAAAGCAGAACTTTTACAACAACTTGAAGAATGGGAGCTAAAACACAAAGAGTTATTAGAAAAAGAGGAAGACAACGAGGTATATATTGTATATAAGTTAATTATCCAGATTGTTTTAGTTTTAGTGCCCTTCTTGGACAGGTCATTTTGGCGAGGCAGAAAATTCAAAGTATCAAGGAAACTTTGACAAGCAATAAAACTAAGAAAATTGTTGCCAAGGTTCCGAAAGGTAAGAATTTGTTTACTAATTTGTTTCAAACTATATAATTTTCGGTGTTATTAAATATTATTAGGAATGAAAGATAACTTGCCAAGAGAAATGGCTGTTAGAGAAAAAGTTTTTAAACTTATAATTGAAGTTTTTAAAAGACATGGAGCTGTAGCTATTGATACTCCTGTTATGGAATTGAAAGTGCTTTCATCGCATTATTAATTATCAATTATAATTAATTTGCTTACAGGAAATTTTAGTTGATAAGTATGGTGAAGAGTCTAAACTTATATACGACGTAGCCGATCAAGGAGGGGAGCTTTGTGCCTTGCGTTACGATTTAACGGTCTTTCATAGTATATAAACATCGTTACTATTTTTTTTGATTCTAATTTTTTATTTTATATCCCCACCGTAAAAAAAAATTTAAAAATTTTGCTCATTTTTTTGCGAATTTTTATTAACACTTGTATTTTTATTACTAGAAAGTTGTGCTTGAAGCTTTAGAGAACTTTATTCGCATATATAAAGCAGCTTGGATTTTTACTATATTACTTTATAAACTCAAATTAAATGATCTTTTGTTACATTACGTTTTCGTTTTAGTAATTTGACATGCTCGAAAACTTAAATTTTCAACAGTACTTATACGAAACTTTATTAACTTATGTCCTTTTTTTATATATTTATTTTTTTATACGGTATTATTTGTATATTATTAATATTACTAATATACTTTTAGTACTCATTATTACTTTATTTTTATTATACTTTTTAATTATTTATATTTTAATTTAATTCAGGTTCCTTTTGCGCGGTTTGTAGCTACACACAAAATCGATAACATCAAACGCTACCACATAGCAAAGGTTTATCGGCGCGACCAGCCAGCCATCGAACGAGGCCGTTTTAGAGAGTTCTATCAATGCGTGAGATTTATTTTAATAAATAAATAAAAAAAAAATAATTAATTATAATTCGTCTTGAAGGATTTTGATATTGCCGGCATTTACGATCCTTTATTGCCTGATGCTGATTGCCTTCGCGTCGTTTATGAAATCATGCAATCTTTAGAACTCGGAGATTTTATAATAAAAGTTTCTTTATTGGAGATATTTCACTGTCGTTTATTAGCTAAATTAATTTTAAATTTAAATTTATAGTTAAAGTTCTACTATAATTTATGGCTTAAACGAGATTTTCATTTTAGATTAATCACCGCAAAATTCTTAATGGACTTTTTGAGTACTGCGGTGTTCCTGCGGCTCAATTTCGTACAATCTGCTCTTCCATCGACAAATTAGACAAAGTTTATAATCACCATTTCTTTGTAGTTCATGTCCAACTTATTAGCGGCACTGCTTATACTGTAGAGTTCTTGGGAAGCTGTAAGGAAGGAAATGATTGAAGTCAAAGGGATTCCGGCATGCATGGCTGATCAAATTGGAGAATTTATAAATTATAGAGGTTGGGATTATTATAAAAAGACGCTTAAAGTAGATTTAATACTGTACAAGAAAAAGATTTGGACTGTCACCAGCTTCTTTATACGCTTAGCTGCACCCTTGGCAATACTGACACTGCAAAATCGGGAATCCTTGAAATAAAGATGCTTTTTGACTACTTACAGTGTTTCGGAGTCATGGATCGTGTGAGCTTTTATATAGAAAAATTAACAGAACTGAGCACGTGTATGTTTCTTCAACGAAAAGATTAGTTTTGATCTAAGTTTGGCACGTGGACTGGACTATTACACGGGAGTCATCTTCGAAACTATTTTTACAGGTTCCGATATTTTAGATTTTAACTTTTTTATTATTATTGATAGTCATCTATTAATCTTGGCCAGATGCACTAGTTGGCTCCGTAGCTGGTGGCGGAAGATACGACGATCTGGTCGGAAGATTTAGTAAAAATGGGCGAAAAGTAAGTCTTCAATTTTTATATTTAATTTTAGATTTTCAGTTAGTGTGTTTTTTTCATATATTGGAATATTTTTTAGTTTGATTATTTTTCTATCAGCTTTTATTTAATAGGCATAATTTTTAGTTTTTTAAGAAGTAATAAATTTTTTAATTATTGTAATTTTTTTATTTTTCTTTAAGATTTTTTTTTTAATTTTTATTTTTTTTAATAATTTATTTTAATTCTGACTTTTTTTTTAAAATTTACTTGTATAAGGTCCCCTGTGTTGGTGTTAGCATCGGAGTCGAGCGCATCTTTACTTTGATGGAAGCTAAATTATTTAAACTAGATGCAGAAAAAGTATTGCTCCCATCCCTCTTTTTACTATTAAGATTTACTATTAACTTCACTGATCAATTTAGATCATCTCGAGGGAAAACGAAACTGAAGTTTACGTTGCATCTACTCACGGATGCGTAGAAGAGCGTTTAAAAATAGTTGCAGAATTGTGGGATGCTGGAATTAAAGTATGTTTATAATAATAATAATAAATTATTTATAATATTTAATTAATTATAATTAAATTTTTGCAATATTTAAATTTAGACGGAATTTATGTATAAAAATCAACCAAAACTTCTTCGACAGTTTCAACACTGCGAAGACTTAAGAGTGCCTCTTTGCGTTATTATTGGCCCTGCAGAATTGGAAGAAGGCCAGGTTTTATCATATTGATGAAATTTTTAGCCGAACTTAAAGTTTAGTATTTTCATACTTGCGTTGAATAGATAATCATTCGGGACGTTTTCTTGAGACGCGATGAAAAAGTTAATCGTTCCGAATTGACTTCTCGCATTTTGGCAAAGTTAAATAAGCTATGAAATTCTAAATAAAGTTTTAATAAATTGTTTTTTAAATTTTTTATTTTTTGTGAATTGTACGAATGCAGAATTATATTTTTGTTGATTTTTTTGTGTATATTTTACTCGAACTTGTAGTAGATACTACTTTGAAAGTTTTGGTTAAAGCTCTGAACGATTAAATTATTATAAGATTGGTCTCTTTTTTTTTCAAGATTAGTTATTCCCTTTACTATAAAAAATGAATAAAATGTTTGCATTACTTACGGTTTGCAATTAAATTATTTAATTATTAATTTGAAAAGTAGATATAATAGCTTAACTATTTTTATAATTAATTTATCAACTGTTAGAACAATTACTTATTATATTTACAACTTTTACTTTTCATACAGAACCAGAATAAACAAACTTAATTATCTTTTTAGCTATTGCAAGCTTTGCTGCTCACGTTCTCTTCTTGCTTTTCGTTATTTGCTCGTTAAGTATAAAACAAAATTATTTTAATAATAAAGGTTAATTTGTGATAGATAAATAAAATGAAGATAAGAAGAGAATAATATGTATTGTATATAAAACTTTACTTTTCTCAAATCATTAAGATTACTAATACTTATTTTTGTTATAGTAAGCCTCCTTGATTACCTTCTTTCCTTGCTACTCACTAACTGCTTATTGAAGATAGAACAAAAATATTTTAAAAAAGATCTTTTTTGTAATAACTTAATTTTAAAAAAATTATAGCAAAGTTATTTCAAAAATATTTACAACTCTACTTATCAGAAGTTAATCAAGTTTTAAAATTTCTTTCTTTTCTTCAATACGGGTTTCACTTATCTTGCCATTTCTCAACTCCTTAATGAGAATATAAAAAATTATTATTACTAGAAAAACTATTATTTTTAAATAGTTTTTAATAAAATAAATTTAGATTTATTTCAATTTGCTAAAGATTTAATTTATCGAGCTAACTGCAGTGAAGAAGCATATATACTCTGCCTTAGGACTTATATATCTTTTTTATTAGCTTTGAATCAAGTGTTTTAAGCTATTCGAAAAAATAAAGTAAAAATTATCTTTCTTTTATTTTTTTTTAGAATACTTTAATTAAAGCTCTTATAAAATATTTTCTACCTTTAAATAGTTAAAGAAACAATATAAAGTTCAATACCACATCGTTAAATATCAAAGTAAAGTCTTATGCCAAACAATTATTTTTTGAGTCAATATGAAAAACTCGCAGACGATTATCAAAATATATTTACAAAATCTTATAGCTCCTTAAAAAAGTTAGGAAAAATCGCTCGTAGTGAATTTTTCAAACAAAGCAGTTTCTAAGCTACTACTTAGCAGATTAAGAATAATTAAGATTCTACGTATTGCTTTGTTTTTTCGAAAATAGACTGTTTTCGTTGGCCATCTATTCCTTTACTAAACATATCTAGAAAAACGTCTGAAGTAATTATGTAAATTAACTTTGTAAAATAGGATTTAAGTAAGCAAATACGATTAATAATCCTATACTACGTCTAGAAAAACGCCTGAAGTAATTTTATAAATTGATTTAATAAAATGGATTTCAAGCAAGCAATTAAGAATTATAATCCTATGAATAGGTACATCTAGCAAGATGCCTGACAGAACTTTATAATTTTAGTCGAGTGGAATTTAAAGCAAGCAATTATAATTTATAATTCAAAAAATTAATACATCTAGCAAAACGTCTGAAGTAAATTATAAATTAGCCAATTAAAGCAAGCAATTATTTTATTTTAATGATGGTGCTTTTTACTTAACTTTTTTAAGTAAAAATCAAGCTCCTCGCCTTCTATAATGTAGCCATCACAACGGCCGCACTGGCCTGGACGAGAGGATACGCAGGCATAAAGACGGCCGGTAGAAAACTGCTGCTGGACGTGTGGATCTAGTACAGCCGTCCTACGACGCTTAGCGAGTTTATTCTTAACGTGCTTTGATCGAGGTAGGTTAAATTTTTCTTCATCTTCTATTGAGAAATCCTTTTTTCGGCCTAACGGTAGTCCATAGTAAGACTCATACCACAATCTGAAAGGAGTAGCGTCAATCTGTACAATACAGTTCTTGACCAAAGTATTGGTTCGGACTAACTCGTTGTTAGAAGCATTATAGACTACGTTCAAAATGCGTGTTTTGCGTGTACAATGTTCAGTGCCCCAAGAAAAATTACCATGATCTGTGATGGTCGTAGTTTGAAAGTATGTGGGGAAAAAAATAAAGTAAAAATTACCTAAACGAAGTGCTCTGAATTTATGATGGCCCCCCATAGTCCTAACTTTGTGGATGCGTGTGGGACCTATTTTGGTCATAGCTGGAGGTCGACCAAGCTCAAATTTCCTTTTTTTCCTAATAGAAATTTGTCGACCCCCTGTAGCGCGTCTTTTATGTGTGCTGTCACGACTAATTCCTATAGTAAAAAATAAAAATCTTAAAGTTATCGGATACAAAAAACCTTTTTTTAACTAAGCTACCTCTTTTCTTTAAACAAAAACAAAGTAGAATGTATAAAAAATGTATAAAATTAACAAAACTGACAAATTATATCCGAAACAATAGTGCTAATATAAAGCTTAAAACAACAATACCCATTGCGAGAAAGAAAAAGTTTGCTCCGGAAAAAAATGATTTCCTCGGAAACTGTTTGCTTATACACCGTCATATGGCTTCGGGCAGGTGCTATTAATAAAATCGAGCGCATGCCTATAGTTGCTTCTTTTAATAGGTGCTCACCTTTTGTTTTTGCTTAAATTAGCTGACTTATTGTACAGGTTTGATAATAATAAGAACTGAATGTAAAAAAAAAATTTTAAAAACGTTTATTTTTTTTAAATTCTCTTGTCTTTACTATTAGACTCGGAAAATTCTTATGTTTACCTGTCATCTATTTTTTAATTACTCTACTAATCCACTGAAAATATAACTTGAATTGTATTTTATTAATATATATTACAAATGAATGAAAAATGTTTTTTTTTTGGAGGACGCGTTCTTTTAAAGGTAACATTGAATTATAAACTAACAACATCTGGCATACTATAGAAAATGGTTAGTAGTATGGATATAAAGCAGCTAACTTTTTGGTTCTTTAGTTGATCAAATAACCTTGGAAGTCATAAAAATAGAGAATATTATTTATTGCATATATATTGCATATATATATATAAACGCACTTTCAATTTTAGCTACTTTTTATTAAACTGTTACTGCAAGGAAGCACTACATCGGTTTGAAATTTAAAAATCTTAAAGTTATTTTTTTCTTTTAGAGCATAAACATCTACCACTAAACTTGAGAAGAATGTTACTCAATTGCACTAAGTTATAATATATACATATATTTTAAAAATTGCTAGTACTGGAAAATACTGTACTAATTTAAAATCGAATTAAGGGCTAAATGGAAAATTACAAAAAGTGGGAAGGCACTAGGATATTTCTGACGTTACGGTATTCTTAAGTTTATTTGCACACTCTTCTTAGATTCACGGTAAAGGATCTAATGATCGAAATTTTTAAATAGAATGCAGTTGTCTTCCGGCTCTTACGCCTTAAAAGTCTTAAAAGAAGTAATGAAAAAGCAGAGGGGGCCAGACTCCTTGCCTTTTCCTTTTAGAAGGGAAGGTATTTATTATATGCAGTGAGTCAAAGATGAGGGACGTGAGTGTGCTTTGCCTCGGCAATTAAACTTGTGGGGTTTCTAGGGTGTATAGGGTCTTGAAGAAACAAAAATCTTTATAAGACGTACCATAATAACAGAAAATTTATGAATATAATTTAAAATTCTTTAATAAAGACAACTCTAGATTTAAAGAAAAAGGTGTTTTAGTTAAAACTAAATAAATTTCAAAACGTAAACAACACTGACAGTTGCGTTAGCTTTAACGATCTTACTTTGAGAAATATGTTTTTTTTATATTTTTGAGCATGTGTAAACTTAATAAATTAAATAAAGTTAAGTAGACTCTTTTATCTAAGGCGCCTAAAAACATTGTTATCAGTGTAACATTCATCGTAACAATTGCCTGGCTTGCAAAGTTTAAATAAAGATTTACACATCTTGGTGTACAACAGTGAGAATATTACTTGTTTTAAGTAGAGCGCCTTTAACTTATATAGTGTCATGTAGGACTACAATTATAAGACTATTGTGTGCGACAGGAAAGTAAAAAGTTTACTTGTTAAATCGTGTCCATATTTACGGAAGCTTAACTCGGGTGATAAACTTTCGTTACTAACACCTGCTTTCTTCATTTTTTAACTAAAAATCACAAGTTATACTCTTCTATTTAAAGAAAAATTAATATATAAGGTTAGGTTACTTTGACTTCTGGTCTTAGAGGTTCAAGCTTCTATAACTACTGTATTAAAAATAAATTGAAGTACTATAGAATATTATAAATGAGAAAGAAGTACAAAGACAGTTTTTAAACTCAAAAAGCACTGGAAGGATTTTATAAAAGCACTCGTTACTGACCTAAAGTTAGGTATAGTTGACATTATTAAGGATAAAAAAAAGATATTAGGGGAGAAAAGGCTCCGCACTTCTTTAAAGAAAACTGTTTAGAAGACCAGCCACCATCCATCCAATCTATGTGCCCTCAAAACGGCCGCAAAAGTATACAGAAAAGAACTTTTGCTTGACTCACAAAGCTTCGTGGTGAATAGTTAAAAACCTTAAAAACTCATAAAGGATTATAAAGATTTATAAAAAATGGTATTAGTCCGAACACTGCTCTAAAATTCAAATTAGTAAAGCTTGATGATAGCCTTTTTTGTTTATTTTTAATGATTGATTCTCCCGCTTTGCATCAAGTAAAAGTTTCCACGGAAAAAACGAAACAAGATGGTAAAGCACTCAGTGAACTTTTAGAAGAAATATCCATAAAGTGAGAATCTGGGATTTTTCTTTAAATTCTTTTTTTTCATTGACTATATTATAATTTTTCCCTTATTTTTCCTATACTTTATTATAACTATACCGCAAAGCAGGGACTTCACTAAACTGAATACAATAGATACTAATATTAATTAGAAATAATATATATAAAGTACTTGAGTTAATTAAAATAGGTACGTGGAACTAACACATCTACATATGGAAACTTGTACACTTCTTGAAACCGAAAAATTCAAAAATTCCTGTTTAATTGAGCAACTCAATCGCCTTGAAGAAGAACTTTCTGGAAAAGTACCCCCTACAGACTACAGTATCACGTCCTTGACTGTGAAATTCGTATAAAAGATTCCGCAATTGTTATTTTCTTAAATAAAGATGACCGTTTAATGATTGCAAAAAGGCACGAAAGATCTTTGGCACAGCAACAGTTGGTCTTACAGGAGCAAAGAGAATTGTAAGCAATATTTATCTGAACTTCTTAAGTAATTAAAAAAAAACAGACTTAAGCTCCGCTTATCGAAGATGGAAAAGGAAAATGAAGAGCTAAAAAATATAATATGTTACGGCAGAACTACAGAAAGCAATCAAATTCCACGCGAAAAAAGTAGCGGAAATTCGGTAAGTGTTCCTGAATGTACAGCGAAATTAAGTAAAACAGAGAATAACATTGCAAGTGACATAAAAGATTCAAGCAATCCCGAGACAGTACTTAACGAGGTGCTCATAAATAGTTGAGTTTCTGAATTATATAAACTTACTGTTATTCTATTTAAACCTATAATTTCGGTAACAACTCATTGATTTATTCCTAATAAAATTCCCATTTTTACTATAATAGTAATACTGACTATAATTATGAATTCAAAACTTTATTCAGAGTAACAACGACGAAATCAAAGCGTTAACTCATAAATGTGCTGCACTGGAGCAACAATTAGTTAACGTCGCCAAACAAAATAAGAAATTTCTCGAGGAGCTTCTAAAAGAACGAGAGATGACGAGCCAGTTGGCCTCGCAGTTCGAAGAAGTGTCTAATTTTATAACTTCGCTTCATCAAAGTAAAAGGCAAATATTGAGTGAACTAGAAAATGTGAAGGTCGAGAAAGAAATGCTGGAGCGTATGCTTTATAATAATACGGAACAGCCCAGAAAAGAAAACTCAGTATGAAAATGAAAATTCAATTTGTATAAATGTTCAAGCATTTCCCAAATGTAAAACAATAGAAAAAGAATTTAAATCCACTTTATTTTGCATACTCTTGTTAATACTTTCATCTAATTTAAATAAATATATATACAATAAATCTGCAAAATTACGAACCGAATCCCTGCAGAAAGAAATAAAACAATAGTATAACAAAAAAAAAAAAAAGAAGCACGACCATTCGCTGCTTGAAGTCATCTTCTGTCGATTCGGGAGCAATATACAGTTTCCAGTCAATAGCAACAGTCTTCGATATCTCTTCGGCCAAAGCCTTATTCTATAAAGCATGACATGGAGAAATAGAAACATTAAAATTAAAAATTAATTAATGCGCAGTAACAAAAGTGCAGCCACCTTTTTACTGAGATGGTTTAAGCTGTGGAAAAGCACCTGTCCCTGCTCGCTGTCTTGGTTAGGCTGCTCCCGGCTGAGACTATCCACAAATAGCGCAAAAGTGAGGCCCGTGGTTGGCTGAAGTACGGCCTCTGTGGCAAACTCGGCCATGTTTACGAGTACGAGTGGAGCGTCGATAGCCAATTCGTCCTTTTCGATAGTCAGCAACACACTGTTAAAGCCGCGACAAAACTGCTCAGGTCTGATCTTCTTGTGCATCATCAGCTTGACGATCAGGTCGGATGCTCGGTGGGCCGTTTTGGGTTTCGCCACGTTTCGTAGGATCAAGCTTTCAACGACCGCGTGATAATTATTCTGGCTATCCTTGATCTCAGTATCGAAGGACTCGATGGCTTCTTGCAAGTCATCGAGCTCCATGTACTCGGCAAAGATGACTTGCGTGGTTTTGTCGATCAGTGCAAATTCATCCGGAGACAAGGACAACTTGGCCTCGTCCGAAAGGATATCCGGTAAAAAGTGTGGCTGATTCAGCGTAGTGTCGGAGACGGTGGCCCGGAGATGAGGCGGAGGTCGCTGGGAGGATCCGGAGGGCATGCGCTGCTTCTGGGGCTGTCGGAGGAGCTGAGGTTGCGACTGGGCAGCCGTTGGCAGCAGCAAGGCAGAGAACGAGTTGCCGGGCTGCAATGTGGGTTTCATGCTGCTTGGAAAAAAAAAATTATTGAAAAGCGCTCAACTATACAAAACAGACAATAAACCAAACCCTTGCTGCTGGCCGCCGTGGTACATACGGCTTTCCATCCTGCCGGCGCCAGGAACAAGTTTTCTATTGGGATCATGCATATAAGTGCGGCGATGAACTTGATTCCACTCGTTCTTGGAAATATTCACTGGAACAATGAGCTGATGATCAATAATAAATATATATATATATATTTATAATAAAAAACCGTTCGAACGAAAAGTCTGCTGTTGCCAAGAGCTCATGCTTACGAGATTTGCATCGTTTAAGCCCGCCGCCTTTTGCCTCTCTGTAATAATATATTTACACAACATCAAACTAGGAAAAGACCAGAGTCACTCGTACCCTCTGCAAAACCCCCCGAGATTTCGCCGGAGGGCTTAGATGCAGGTGGCTTGCCAGTTTTGTTCCAGCTGCAAAAAAAAATAAGGGCGTCAAGGCGGCGGTTATTTCACCAGCAAGTCCAAAAAAACTCACCGGTTAGCACGAAGTTCGATAACGTCCTGCAGCATAAAACGGAACCGCATAGGGAGCTGCTCTGATTCTGATAATTTCTTTATGCGTGCAAAGTAGTTGTCTAGCCTATCAGGGCATTTCCTGTCAAGAGTCGACCCTGCAGCCAAACACAACGGTTTATCTAAAGAAAAAAAACCCGCTGGCGTGTGGACGGACCAACGGTGAGAAGCAGGTGGTGGAGACTCTCTATGGACTCCAAGGAGGGGACCTGGAATTCAGGCTTTTTAAATAACAAAAGCTCCTCAATGCACGAGTATATGACGGAAGTGGAGATCATCCCCAGTTTCACAAGTTCGCCAGAAAACTGGATGTTGCCCAGCATTCGATATTTGGCGCGTACAATTTTCTCGTCCTCGTCCTTTTTTATGAATAATGCAACTGCTAACAAATAACGATTAAAAAAAAAAGGCCGGACCTCTGCTGCGACTGTATAGGCCGTTTGGATAAGACCTTTCTTTTCACTCTCAAACTCGGCCTGGCAACGCTGCAGGAGTATACCCCTGAAGGTGTCTTCCATCGAATATGGCTTATTCAGTGATTTCAAATATTTCTCATAGTGCTCGTGAAGGTCCAAGCAGAGCCGAGCGTACATGGCGCAGTACGGCCTTTCTTCCAACGCTTTGTTCTAAAGTGGCACATGAATAGGGAATACTGCAAATGAAACGAGCAAAAACTAACAAATATTAGGTCAGCAAGTTTAGTGATTTGTTCTCGAGTGTTTATATTCATGGACTTAATCTCCGCACTAAGACGTCCGTAGTTTTCATATGATAACTTATTAAGTGTAATGGTCAACTGCTTAAATATCTTCTGATCGCTTAATTCTTTTCTTTCCTCTTTACTCAAATTTCTAAGGTTAGTCATCTTCCCGGGCAGCACTGAAGGCTTCCAGCAATCCTCTCCAGAAGTCTACATGGTTATAAAGGGAAGAAAAAAAATAAAAAAGTAAATAAAGTTTTAAATAAAAAAGTTTTGGATACATGAACAGGTTGGGGGTTACTCAAAGGCGGAAGCTGTCTGTCTGTCCTGGCCTGCCTGACGCCCCTGCCCGCCATGGAGCCCCGCAGTAAGCCATGTGACTGGGCTGGGTGACTATAGTGCTGTCGAAATTGTGGGGCCTCCAAGCGTCTCATGCGCGAATGAGAGGAGACGAGCCCACGCTGCTGGCTTATTTCCGGATCGTCCATGAGACCTGCAGGTTTGCTCTTCACGAGGGTCTTGAAAGCGAATATGAATTCGAAAGTATATAGTTTCATTCCAGTAGGATTGGTAGGGCTCCAGTAACCCGGAAGGTAGGAAGGGCGGGTCACCTGGCTGTCCTAGATATAAATAAATGGTATATTAGCTCACCTAAGAAAACTGTCAGGGTCATATAAGAATAACTTGATCAGGAGAAGGCGTGTTACGAGTGTGGTCAGCAGAACTAAAGGAGCATTCGGTTGGCTCATCCTCCTTCCTATCATCGCTCTCTGATAAAATTTTCCCTTCACTTTCTATTTCCTTCGGTTCTCCTTCACTCTGCCCGTTCACTTTTTCGTCCTCCAACTTTTTTTGTTCTTCCTCTTTTTTTGGTTTTTCAGCTTCTTCTATCGTCGTACGCTCTTCTCCATTTAGCTTCTTTAATGCTTCTTTCAAACTATTTTGTTCTTCCTCTCTTTTTACCTTTTCCTCTTCTTCTAACTTTTGTGCCTCTTCTCTTTGCTTTTCCAGCTCTTCATCCTTTTGTCTGCGCTGTTCTTTCTCTGCTATTTTCTTTTTCTCTTCTTCCATTAATCGTTCTTCTTCTCTCCTTTGTCTTTGCTCCTCTTCCTCTGCTTTTTTCTTTTCCTCTTCTTTTATTTTTTGTTCTTCTTCTCTCTTTTGCCTTTGTTGGTTTTCCTCTGCTTTTTTCTTTACCTCCTCTTCTAACTTTTGTTCTTCTTCTCTCTGCTTTTTTATCTCCTCCTCCTTCTTTTTTCGTTGTTCTTCCTCCCGTTGCTTATCTTCTTCTTCTTTCTGCCTCTTTAGTTCTTCATCTTTTATGCTTCTTTGTTCCTCTTCTCTTCTTTTTCTCTCCTCTTTTTGCCTTCTCAACTCCTCATCCTTTAATCTCTGCTGTTCTTCCTCGCTTCTCTTCCTTTCCTCCTCCTCTTCTTTCTTTCTCTTTATCTCCTCAGCTAACAATATTTTTTCCTCTTCTTCTCTTTGCCTCAATCTATTTTCTTCCTCTTCTCTCTTCCTCTTCTGCTCTTCTTCTATCCGCCTTATCTCCTCAACTTTTAGTTTTTTCTGTTCAGTTTCTCTCTTTTTCTCTTCCTCTTCTTTCTTCCTCAGTAATTCAAGCTCTTCGCTATTTATTCCCCCCTCGTCCCCTGTAGAACTCTGACCCGTTTCTTCCATTTCAATTTTAACAACCTCACTAATATTTATGCTCACCTGTTTTCTTTCATTACGAATTAGGCTATCTATTGGTACACCTTTAAACTTCTTTTGTGACTCGCTGTCCTTCAAAACCGCTTGTGAATCTGCACCTAAAACTTTTCCGCTGTCCTCTTGCCCTTCAGTAGCTCTGGTTTTCACGTGATCCTGCTCGTACTTGATTTCCTCGTTGGTATCGGGATCAATAATAGCAATGGCCTTAGATTTGGGCTTAGCGGGCGGTTCTTTGAAGCTATAAGAGGGAGTGGGCAGCTCTAAAGCTGGTTCATAAATCCGTTGAGAATACATGTAATGCGGATAGGAGACACTAGCGTAGTACGGGGAGTAGGTAGCATAGAGGGCGGCGGGGGGGCCCGCTGTATACTGTGCCGGAGCCTGTGACTGCACGGGTGGCGCCGGCTGGGGATAAGCAGTATAGTGTGGCATTGCCCCCGAAAGAGGAGCAGAACCAGGCAAAATATACTGACCCCGCTGACCCACCGTATTATCCACATGGTCTGGCCGTGCTTCTTCCGATACCGGCTGCCGTGATATATAAGGAGGTTGAGCGCGAGGCATCGGGTGGGGCGGATCGTGTGAGGCCACTGGGCGACGATGTCCTTGCATGAGGCCATTCGGCTGATGTTTAGGAACACCGGAGGCATGCGACTGCGGATGCCCGGAACTGGCGGCAGGAGGCTGTCTAAAACCAGTAGAGGAAGCATTCTGGTGGGGAGCAGAAGGATGCCCAGTCGCCGGTTTTTGAGAGTTGGTCTGATGCGAGAAAGTTAGTTCACTTGTCCTGTCCTCCGAGTGAGTGCCGAGTCTACTGGCTTTTTTCATCGGAGTTGTGTGCTTCATAAATTTTAAAAAAATTATGATTTACAAAATAAGAATAAAAGAAAGGGAAGAAACATAAAAATAAGAAACTCCCCCCACTACAGTAGTAAGGCAAGAAAAAAAGATTAGAGATTTCAATACGCGAATAAATAGCTTACATTATTTACAGAACCAGTACCTTTAGGCATTAAAAAATCATAAGCCAATTTTGTACCTGGTTAAAATAATTATAATTAGAGGTGAGACACAGCAAAGAGAAATAATTACCATCGGAGCGTCTTATAGCTCTTCCACGACCTCTACTTGAATTCATATTCTATAAGAAACAATGAAAGTGAGAAATAACTACTACAAGGAAAAAAGAAAATAAAGATTGTAAATCTAATCTTCTTTAACAACTAAACTCAGAATCCCTTATAAATAATACTATTAGCACAAAAAATGAATTAATATGCTTAAGAATACGGTTACAGTAAACACATTAAATTTCATAAAACTAACAAAAAAGTTAAACAGAGGAGAGTAACAAAACAGATAGCATAAAACGTGCCTCAAATAGTTATTAAGCGAAATAGGATTATTCATAAGGAATTACAAATATATCGGTAATACTAATAGCCCTAAAGAACTGAAGAGAAACCAACAAATCTTTTTACAGAGGGTGAATAATAGATAAATAATAAGATATTTCCAAAATAGACCCAAATAAGAATTGGAAGACGAGCAGCAAAACAATGCACAGGCTTTCAGCCCAAATGTAGTGCGCGAGGACTAAGGTAAGTGCGGGAGCCATAATTTTAAAGGAAACCTACGAGGCCAGGTGGCTGAGGCGGCCGAGAGTTAATTAGAAATTTAGTTTTCTGGTTGAGTTTAAGATTTACTCTACCAGTTTAGTAATTTGTAATAGTCTTTTTGCACGATTACTACTAAAATAAAAAGTCTGTTAGTTTGTCTTTACAAATAATTATTGAAAAAAAAGGTGCCGTCTGTACGCTTACCTTTCTAAAAAATAATTATAGTTTCTTTACCACATCTGGTCAATGCATGACAATAGTAAGTGTTAGTATAGTGAATGGAAATTAGATACTAGAACAAAAAGACGTAAACGTGGAGGGCAACCACTAACATAGGAAAATATTATTCGTTACTTATTTAGATATAAAAAATATATATATATAACTAGACCTGTTTAAAATTTAAGTATCATTAAAATTTTACGGACTAGTTCTATAACAACGGCTTGAAATTCAAATAACGTTAATGTAGAATTTTTCTTATTATGTTATTGTCAAGTAAATTTAAGACTGAATTATTATTATACATTTAAAGATTACTCTTCGATACCTCTTTCAATGCTGGGGTGCAGAAAAAAAAATTAGATGCATGTAAGTTTTATTAAAAATAGTTTTATAATTAATATAAAATTTTGATAATAACAAGCCTAAAGTGTGCCAAATTTTGTTTAAACTAATTGATATTTCCTAAAACTTTATTTTTGCCTCCATCACCGGGCGAATTCTGATTGAACACGTATTTCATATAATATGGAAGTAGCTAGTTAGGTTTACAGGAAAAAAAATTTCATATAACTCAAAAGTAAGAATTATACCAAAAATTTTTTTACAAAAAAATTAATAAACTCTTGAGTCGAAAATAAAAGGCTTGAAACTTTAGGTTAGCTTTTTAACTTTGCTTATTACCTACAGAAAAGAAAAAAAATAAAAATAAAAATATTGCGGCGTAGGCATTGTGATGCCCATGTAGATGTATATTCTACAAGTAATTATAATTTCAATTACCGTTAAAAACTTTAACCTAACCCCAAACAAGGTAGTTTATAGACGACGGGAAAAAGTAGGTGTACAATAAAACAAGCTTAACTTGTAAGTTTTATTATTCATTTTGGAAATGCGATAAAGTAGAATGAGTTTCATTAAAAAAAAATTGGAAGCTTAAGCCTTGAGCGTAGAATTGTCGTACCCGAAAATTAGGGCTTATAACGTTATATACATCCGCCTTGAGATAAGTAATTTTTTTTTTGTCCTTTCGAAAATTATTAAGAAAATTAAGCTTAATTAATTGCACCTGGATAAATTGGACTCTAATGAACAGTTAACCCTTTTTTCTAGTAAAAAATTATATAAGTGGACAATTAAAAATTAAATTTTGATAACTCATTGGTAAATGTAAATATTTAGTACTATTGCAAAAGTCTCTTTTGGCCTTATTCTTCTTCTATACGGTAGCAAACGGAAAATTTATTAGCTTCAAACCCTTAAAGGGTGAGTAAAAGATGGTTTACAAATTAACAGCGTTATAATTATAGTCAGCACTGCATATAATGTTATATGAAAAATAAAAAATTCAAAATAATTTACAAACTCTCACTTTAGAAACTAATTAAATAATAAAATGGAGTTTATAAAATCTTTTTCTCTAAAAACAAGATTTTCTGTAAGTTATTCAAGTAGCGGTTTTTATCGTATTGGAGTCTATAGGGGAAACTTTTAAAAAAATAGCTAAAAATTAGGACTTAACTCACCTTTTGAGCTTCAATCATCTAATTGAGAAAATTAAACTTTTTTGTCCTTTATACTAAATACGTACCAGAACTATTTTTTAACTTTCGCATGTCAAACCCGATTTTTTGCACATATTCCAAGCTTTTCTATAGTTTTTATGAATTAGGTAAATTCATAGGTTTACTAGTAATCTTATAACTTTAATTTTCATTTAATAAATCTTTCGATAACCCTGCAGAGTCTTTTATTTTATATTTTTGCTTTGTCCTTGTGTAAAAGTTCTTTTTTGGTCACTTGAAATTACATTACAGAAGTTTAATTTTTACGACAACTTGAGTTGCTCTTAATCATGATTATATATTTACATTGGAAACCGAAAATTTTATCAACATTCAGAAGTATATGCCTACTCGCTTGTGGGCGTGTGCTCTCATCTACTGAACGAATGAATTGTTACCCAATTATACTCAATTTTTTTTTTGTGTACTTACAACAAGAAAACAAAATTTTTAAAAATTATTCAATGCTTTTAATTCGACTTTATTAAAGAATGCTATGATTTCTCATTAACATTTAATAACTTTTAGTATCAAGAGAAACGAAGTCAAGGTAAATACTTTGCACAATTGTTCATTGATCAAAGTAGTTAACTGTTTTAATTCGTTTAAAAATTTTTGGAAAAATATAAATGTGGGTTTTAATGGTGTCAATGTAAAACTAAAATATAACATAATTATTTTATTCAACTTATTAGTTATAAGTTGTAAAAGTCATTACACATTAATTTTTTGAGAATATATTACTAAATTGTAAAAATAGTAAAAGTCAGTTAAAAACTCTCGTAATTGGTAATTACATCGGGAGTAGACAGGGGGGGGGGGGGAGTTCCCATCATGCTTCGGCATCTTTCACTTAATTAAATTTTTTTTTAGTATACTAACTTATGCTTTCGTATTAGTACGACAAATTTTAGCTATTACTAATTTATTTATTATTTAGCTGAAGTTATTAAGAATTACACTGCTTGTAATTAAATTCGGGTTGGACTGTTATAACTCGTTGGGGTTAAATAAAATGTAATTAATATTAAAATGAAAGGAAAATTAATAGCAAAGAACGAAACAAAAATTAGCTAAGGATGTAATGTTTAAGAGAAAGCAATTAGAACTCATATTATAAGAAAAAATTGGAAGAGAAATTTAAATTCTAAATTCGTTGACCTGCAATGATGGAAGACAAAACCGCGAAAATAACGAATGCAAGCAGCATATAATCATAGGAATATAGTATACTCTTATTCTGCTTCCACGGCGTATTGCTCTTATACTTTTACAAGCCGACTACGTAAGTTCCATCAATTATATTAGCTTTTTACGCCGTTAAAAGAGCTGTGGTGTTTTTCTTTCGGTCATTTTAATAAATGTGCCGCGTAAAGTTAGGGGTTGTCCAAAAATTGTAAGTGTAGTGGTGTCATACTAAAAGTAGTCATTTAGTCGATCACCGTTTTTTTAATTAACAAGAAACGATTAAAATACTACAGGTATGATATTAAAATATAATTAAGTAATCAAAATAATGACATATGAATGCTAATTAATTGCTCTGCCATAAATTAAAGTATGAGCACTCTTATATTTTATTTTTAGAAAGCACTACCATAATTTTGCTACAAGCGTAATGAACCCATCAATAGATCATAATAGTACTGCGTTTCCAGCAATTCTTATTTTTTGCTAAGTTTGCTCTCTTTGTTTCGAGTTAAACTTTTATATTACAAATTCATATAAAATTCTAGGGATACAAGTAAGATTAGGAAAATTTTCTGCAGAAAATCTTCCTTCAACGCTTTTAAAAGTAAAAGATGTATTTCTTTAGATGCTAGTATAGTTATGTTACTAGACTTACTAACCATGTACCTTAGAGGATATAAAATCTTTTTTGTACTATCATATTATGTCGGTTTTATAAAAAATTTTAAATCGTTGTGATAAACTTGAGTTGACAATGCAAAACTGGCCTTTATAACTTTGAGAGTGCTCTGGCAGTGTAGTAAAAAGGTTCAAAGTATATTTGAGCCCTTTCCATCTATATATGCGTCAATAATTGACTAACGGACTTGATCAGTTATATATTATCTGCTTGATTCATTTTGTAAACTACTCGTACTTCACTGGTTTGTATACAGGGTCTATTTTAATAGTATTAAAGAAAAAAATAAATCCGATTTATTGAATTGCTTTACAACAACACTTTTATAAAGTTGTCCACTTTAAGATTCCGAGTTTATATAAATTTATTTTGAATGCTACAAAAGAAAAGAACTACTGTGCCCTGAGGGGACCTGATATTGTAGCTTTATGATACCGATTGCAACCCCATGCATTGAATAAAATTAAAAAATATTTTCAAACACCATGTGTGGGTGGATAAATAAATATATGTTCTCGTAACTTGACAAATGTTTGTAAGTCATCTTTAAAAAATACTGGAAGCGTGAACGGATGTATTCTTTAAAAATATATATATATATATATAGGTCTAATAATTATAATGTTTTAAAAGCTCCTAACTACGAACTTTCTTTGACAAACTAATTTTTAGTATCTTCCTAAAATTTTTAGGCTTTTTAAATTTTTGTTATTAGTATGATTTATCTAAATTTTGACTTATTTTATTAAGCTAATTACGGTTAATGATATTCTATAGGGTTAAGTTCTCCAAATAATTGTTTCGAGTACTAGTGTATTACACATAAATAAATTAGTTAAAAACTAAGGAAAACTGATAATTTATTTTATATTCTTGAACTTTTCCAGGACCCTTGCCAACTCAAACCCAAAGCAACTAAGTTAGTAAAATAAAACGAAAATAGGACAAACGCGTGCCGACTCGCCTACAAACAGCAGTAACAACCCACGGGCGGGAACCCTTAAGGGTACATTTAATAGGAAAAAACGGTTTTTTATTTTTAAAACTTTAGACGACCCCCCTCCTTACGGTTGAGTGGCATCATTTGTGATTCTTACTCTTATATGTTTGATGACGAATAAACCAGAAAATAAGTTTAATCCACTTATTTTGGACAATTATTTACTTCTTAACTGTATAGCTTAAAATGCAACTTACTAAAAACAAATTACAGTTTTTACAAACGAAGACTCACCGTTAGTCATCAATTGATTATAATAATACTGTGAGCTAACACATATTTTTTTTATTTTTATAATTAGTTAACATGTGTCATAAGTAAGTTAATAATCTGTACATTAATTTAATAAAAAAAGGAATAACCCTAAAATTTACAAAACTATAATTTCTTAGCAATATGATTTAGTTTATATAGATAAGATATAAAATTAAACCAAAAAAGGTAAACAAGGGGTTCTGATATTGGAATTATTCAAGTTATGAATCTTACTTAAAAGCTAACTAAGGTTTTCAGGCTCTATCAAAATTGTAGTTTTACTTTTTATATAATATTTTGCTATTAAAACTTCTGTAATTCCCATAATATTTGGATGATGGTATCAAAATTTCCATCATTCTAGACCATAGCGAAAGAGCGTCCCTAATAACTTCTTTCTACTTCTTGGAATCTGGCCCAACCTATTAGAAATTGGTTAGTTAAGATTGAGTTGAGTCACTTTTTTGAGGATAGTAAGCCAAAAACAAAAAATCACTAAATATTTTCGGGAGGGGCTTGTGAAACATATATATTATCTTGGTAAAAAAAGCCAATAAAAAATCCGCTTAAAGTCGTATAAAGTGTGCACATGAAAAATATTTTTTTCTTGAATTTGTTCATCTTCCATTACACCACTCAAGGATATAGTTTAATGAGCTGTGTACTTTAAAAAGTTAAAAAGCAGTTACTTAGGAAGACTACTTTTTACTTTTGGATAACCTTACTAGCTTTCATAGTCCTGGATAGTCTTTTACCCCTAGCGCTCAGCTTAAATTTTAAAAAAAAACTTCATTTTATTAAGAATTGATTACATACTAAATGAGTACCTTTTTACCTAAAAATGTTTTTTATATCTTCTAAATCACGTTTCATTGATCGGTGTCTGAAATCCAAGGTCTCCAGGTGGATATAAAGGTGAGCGAAAAGGTTATTCTTTTAGTTTCTTCTGTATTGTCGTCAATATCTATGCTATCTTAATTGGCATTACTTATTCCATAACCTATTCGAACAAACTTTAAATTTCTTAAGGAAGAGTCTAAAAATGGCTACTAATTCTAAAATGGGAGAACTTATCCTGCACTCTGGCTTGACTTAATTGCCATTAAAATTTCCCAATCTTTATTTTAAAAAAATTACTTTCGAGAAATACACTATTGAGTAAGAAAAAATAATTAATAAATTAAGGAGGTCTTGACTGAATTGTTATTGTATTTATCGGCTAAACAGATATTAAGTACTTTTAAACTTAAATGCCAATAAAAATTACGGCAATTTTTTTTAACTGAAAGGTTTAAAAATAAGATAATTAAAAAACAGTACAATTATACCATATTAAATGCTGAGAGAAAAGTGGGCTACTAATTATAAGTTCACATGCAGTTACACTACTCCTTTTTATTCTTTCTAGCCATATTTTGGGGCAAAGTTTTAGCGGGGGATAGATGTACAGAACTTAGTAGAGCGCCTGCCTTGTAAGCCTTCCGTTTAAAAAATTTATTTTATAAAAATTTTATACTTCAAGTTTAAGGTTTTATTTAATGAGTGCTGTAAAGTGTATTATACAGAAAAAATTGGTTAACTCAGCATTCCATCGTTGGCTCATTACTTTTGTATACCTTTAAGTCGAAGAGCTAAAAAAAGCAAATATTTAATATAAAGAACAAATATTTGTTGACACCAAAATATTTCTTGTAGATTAATAGTAGTTTCTGTCGTAGAACAGTTACATAATATTATTTACTATATTGAAATATACTTGGAACTTTTTTTAATATTATAAATAGAGACTTATCGGGATGCTCACTACGGAAGTTACCTTCTCCCGCGATGTGTTCCACAAATGTTAAGTTATTGTAAGTAGTATTCTTTTAAAGGTTACAAATTCTTTCTAGTAGTAGCTTTTAACAAGCTTTAGCAATTAAATTTTCTTATAATAAGCTGTTAGTAGTATCTTTATGTTTTCTCTTTATTTCTCTTGCACCTTCTGCTAAATTTATAAAATGGCGTGGCGCATCGCGAGGTTTGCTTTATTATTTAGTTGCACAGCTGTCTTTTTTCCACATGTAGTGTTTTCCTCTAGTTGATTTCTTTCCTTGTTAAAAGCATATTTTAGTTTTTATCTTACTCCTCTTTAATAAAGAGTTTGTAATAAAAGACTGGCCCTTCCTTAAATTTTAAGTGAAATTTCCTTCGTTTACTAATTTGACATTGTATAAAAGTGATATAAAATATTTACAATAATTGATTTTATGAAAATAGTTATTATTCCATAAGTTGCGTTCTACCTACTTCCTCCGTAAAAGTTATTTTCTTTTATTTGAGTCATTAAAAAATTTGTTCTTAACTTTTGGGTATGCTTAATTAAAAAATTAAAAGAAAATGTCGACTTGCCACTCTAAGAAAATTTTTATGTCCGTTTAGTCTAATTTAATAACAATTGTTTTTAATATAATTTTCAATGTCTGAGCTTTTTGTTAGAAGTATGTAATAAATAGGATAAATGTAATTGAGGGTTTATATTTTTACAAAAAATTTAATAGAAAAGCTATGTAGGAAGAACGAGGCTATGAGACTTGTAAATAGTAATTATAAAAAGCATATTTTTTTAACTTTACTTTAATATTTTATGTTTTTATACATACATATTTTAGGGTAATAATATTTCGGTAAGTAAAAACAGACATTTTAAATATTATATTGTAAGTATGTGCCATCTAAAACTTTTCACTTGAAATTCTTTTGATACATCTTTACCTTATTGCAAAATAATTCGGTTATTTTGAAATTCCTGCTTATATTTTAAACTTAATTGTATAGTCTCCAGTACGCTTAGTATTGTCAATATCAATTGAAAACTGAAAGTCATACATAATTAATATAGTTTCTTTTTTCTTAAGATAGATTTAAAGATGTTTTTTAAAAAAAATTCCAACTATTCTTATTAGCTACCTGTTAAAGTCAATAACTATAGTTAAGCTGAATACTACGGTATTTGCCGTGAACTTGCAGTCAGTGTTAAAAAAAGTTGGAAAATTAAATTTTAAAGTGGAGGGGGAGCTATATTAATTAAATATTGAAAAACTAGTTCTTTTTAAATAACAAAACACTAACGAGATAGATTGCGAAAGTACGGTCACACACAATGATTTGTTATTTTTTAACACTTCTGACCATTTTTCTATCTTTTTCTTTTAAAAGTTAATTTTTATAGTGTTAAATTACTTACTGTTATAAATTCGTACTTGTATTTAACTATAGAAATCTTAGTCACAATTGGCTTGTATCAATCGCTCCCAATTCATTTATTAAATTTCCTTATTTAAGGAAATTGTAAGTAAGTTGCACTTTTCGTGAATATTTAACTTTAATGAAACCACTATAGAAGCCTAAATAATAACCTCCTTTACTCTATTGACTCTAAGCTATTTGACGGACTAGTCTCACTGAAGTCGCTGTACTTGAATAATTATATTTTTAAACTTATTAAATATTTTTAGCCATTATCTTTTAATTATAAGATCTCTTCACAAAAATCAAATTACCCATATTGCAGATGACGTTTTTTCTGAGTTGTCCGAGTTACGATTTCTGTAAGTTGCAACTTCGTCAAAAACGCTTTTGTCTAAGAAAATGCATAATATACCAGCCGTTTATTTAATAACAAACTTTTTAATTTGAGTGAAAACTTATTTAAGGCTCTGGTCAAGCTTAAGCGTTTGTAAGTTTTACAATATTTAATCAACTTTATTGTTATAGTTATAATATTAAATTCTTTTTTTTCGGTAATAAAAAATTAAATTATAAGTATAGCCACTTATGAATATAAAACTTTTTTCAAAAATTTTAACTTTCTCGTTATAGGAATCTTCGGAACAATAACATAGCTTTGATACCTCCCTATCTTTTTAAAGATCTTAAAAAATTAACATATTTGTAAGTAAGATTTATATGCATTTTAGTTTATCTAAAAACAATTATTGGCGTAATTACTAAAGCTTAGCAATCCTAAAAGTTACGAATATTTTTAAATTCAGAGATCTGCGAGTTAACCAGATTCACTCTTTAAATTCCAGGATGTTTGCAGGGCTAAAGTCACTACAGAATTTGTAACTATGCTTTATTATGTAGGCCAATTCTTTTATTTTTATTTTTTCTTGCATAAAACGCCTATAGACGTCTTCACGATAATTTATTGGAATTAATTTCCACGGGAACATTTATAAAATTAACTGCGCTAACGCATTTGTAAAATATTTTTAACTTTAAAAATTAGGTTAAATTTCTTGATACTAATTTTTTTAAAAATGTCAATAGAGATCTTAGTGGTAATCTCATAACAAAAATTGAATCTCAAGCTTTCAGCGATTCGTTTAACTTTAGTGTTTTGTAAGGTTTTAAGCTAATATTTGGTTGCTTTAAAATTAATTGCCCATTTTTATAGAAAACTTACGCTTTATTGGAATTTTCTTTGTTGCTCGCGCGCACACTATCAGAATAATTTAACTTATTTTGGAAACGTGTGTACTCATGATAACAAAATAGTATTCTATGAAAACATCCCTTTAGAAGATTGTGCTTAATTTCCTAAATCACAAGCGTATAATAAAGAATGCAAAGTCCTTTTTACCACTACTTTCATAACTTTTCTTAACAAATAAAACTTTTCGGAAACATCTAATGATATAACTACAAAGATTAACTTTACTTTTAATTTTGAAAACACGAAAAGCTTACCACAGAAAAAGGGGAAGAGCGAACTAGTCTATCGCTCTGTAGAGGAAGAACACACATACATCCAGGAAGGGTAAAAGGAGTAACCCATAATGTGTGATTGAAAATAACAAGTGCGATGGCACGTAACTAGGTCACGTTGGACAAACATGTAGAATAATGCACCACATGGTGTGAGCACGTGATGTATCAGATTAAGAAATGTATGTAATTGCATATTTTTACTAAATCCTTTCTGTTCCAATAATTTTAATAGAATTTGCGTCTTGCCTAATATTCAATTTATTTCGAAAAAATTATATTTCTCTGTTCGCCAAATATTTAGACTTACGGAAAAAATTACAAAAGCTTTCTAAATTAGAAAGATAACAGGTGTGATCTTCCTAGATTTAAAAAGGCTTTTGATAAAAAATGGCACTATGGGTCTGATATGCTACAATCGCCGAAAATAAAGTTAGCCCAGTACGCTGATGACACAGCCTTATTTTATATTCCAGATCTACCTGCTGAGTGTTAAAAACATGATCTTATTTAACAGCACTTGAGGCTTGGTTTTTAATGTGGAGGTTAATAATTAACGCCTCATGAAGTAGTTTTAAGACTATAACAAGGAGTATACTTCCCTAAATCCCTAGTCTCTCATCAAACCATACTACCAGTTGTTGTGAGAGGAGGGTTAAATACCTCGGGGGTGATATTCATCGGCAGACTAAGTTGGACTTAGCATCTTTACTAAAAGCAGACAAGCTACAGTCGTTTTATGTCCATTACAAGCCAGGAGAAGCAAGTTGCATCAAAAAAACAGGCTCCTTTTATACATACCGCTATACGCTTGCTGATGGTCTATGCCTCCATTACTTAGGCCGATTTCTCAAACAGATATTCCCTGACTTTAAGTTATACAAAATTGCGCTCTGAAAATGGTGGTAGAGGCCCCTGGGTTTTTGCGTAATAACCAACTCCTAAAAAGGTCACGTCGAGTCAAACATATTTTTACAAAATTTTTGGAATTAGCTTACTAGGGTCAGTAGTTACCATGACATACTATTTTAACTCTTAATGGCTCTCGTTTTTAAACTAAGTACTCCCAAAAAACATTTCTCAGACCTTTAGAGGGGGGAAATGGTTAAGATTACAGTTTAAACTTACATATATAATTTATAATAATAGAAACAGTACTAAAACTTAACTATTCTATTGTATTTCATTAATAGTGTTGTTAATAATTGGCTATTGCGTTTTTATTGATATATACTATTTAGTTATGACAATTAAGCTCGTCCGTTCTAGTTAAAGACGTTATGTTTTGTTAAGGAAATCGAAGCTCTGCACCCTCAATTAATACCGGAGGAGTAAATAAAGGATTAATTGATTAAAATCACGCTTGTAGTAAGTAATACTATAATTAGATAAATAAATAAATAAATTTTTACCAAAAGACCCTCTTGGACAGATTCTTTGGAAAACAATTATTATGTTAATGTAAGAAAACTTAGTGTCGTTCATCTAAAAGAGCTATTAGCTTGAAGTATTTGCGTTTATCATTAACTAGTTTGTTGCTATGCAAGTCCAGAAATATTATTTAAACTTTGCAATCTAACACTCATTTTTTATAAAAAGTAATAAATTTTCCTTTACATACGCACAATAAACAATGCTTAAAATATTCATGGGGTAATTTTAAAATACTCGTTTAAAGTTTTACCAGTAAAATTTTTTTAGGAAAAAACCTAACAAACTGATAGAATATCATATAATTAAGTTAAATAAATAAGTTGTAACAATAACATTTGTTATTCCTATTAATTTTTTATAAAGAAAAAGAACAGGAACTGACAAGGACTACCTCTTTCGTTGCTTATAATTCTTAATATTTGATAACCTTTGCCTTTCAGTTAAAACTTAATTAATAAAACCAAGTGCTGAAATCGGCTACTCTAATTAAGGCAAGCAAGTGCCCGTTACAGTCTTTAGACGAGTATATACTGTTTACAAACTAGCTTTTGCTATAAGTTAGAAATGTTATACTTAGCTTTTATAATTTGGGTCCTTTCAACTTCCTTAAGCTAATATGAAGTTAATTTATAAATATTATATTAACTAAGTTGAAAGTGTGTAACAGTATTCCTATTAAAACATCTTTTGAGTTATTTCTACCGTTTGTTCCGGTGTGGTTACTATCATACAGCAAAACCAGGAAACAATAAGCTTAATAAAGTAATAAACAGATTCCTTAATAAAATTATAAACTAGTAAGTGTTATAATAATAATACCTAAACAGAAGTTGGTAAACACTAACCGTATCTGATAAAAAATAAATATGGTTAAGGGGCGTTTTAGATAATTGTTAAAAATTTAAGTTAACATAAATTAAAGTCCTCTTAATTATTTAATATTAAAACACAACTTTCGGCAATACAATAATGAACAGTTATCAATAAAAGATTATCTTAGTAACCTTAATACCCTTTCAAATTTTAGCTAATACATTTAGCCGATAATAATAGTTAATAAATAATAATAGAGAGACCATCTCCCAAGTTTTGCTACTAAAGTTGACTGTGTAACGACATAATTAGTTGATATTATTTTCTTAAGATTCCTTGCAAAATAATAAATCAAAATTCTTTTTGTTAACACTTTATCATATGAATGAGTAAATTTCTTATAATACCCTATACGCTCTTTTAGAAATATAAAAAAAAGTAAAGACTTTCACTTACATTGTGGGGATAGAGGGAGGAACTTGACCCTCCAGTAACTCATGTCCTTTAAAACTTTTCACACAACTTTCGAGTAGAAAATGTTTTTTTATAACCTTTATGTGGTACTTAGGTAATTTTGGAAGATGGGATATCAATAACTTAAAAAAAATTCATTATCATTTAATATATATTAACTATAATAAGTTAATAATATTACGTAAAAAAAGTTATGACTCCGGAAACAAAGCATCTCTTGCACACCATTTGGTTAAGAAATTAAGTAATTGTTTTTCTAAAACTACCTTTACGAGTAATAAGTTATTTTCTAATAAAGAAGGGACCATTGATGCTACTACATTTGATAGTAGTAATAATTCTACTAATCTTATTGAGACAAGTGACAAAAGTAAAGAAAATAATTATAAATTTTCTGACACCCTCTTGCTTCCAAAAACAACCTTTTCTCAAAGAGCTTTTGCTTCCGTCAGAGAATTGGGTATTTTCTTCCTTACCTTTTTTAGTGTATATTATGTGAGGTTGAAGAAATTTCATACTTTTGACTATATTTTCACAATTTAGAAATTCAGGATGCATCTTTTAAGACTTTGTATTCCTGGCAGTATAATAGAACTAATGTTAAAGGAACTTTTGTGCTTCAGGACGGCCCACCTTTTGCGAACGGAGATGTTCACCTAGGGCACGCAGTAAATAAGGTAATATTATATTTCAAGGTATAGAGTTAGTAGATCTTAGATTTTCTTCCATTGTGAGCTTTTATTTTTTTTTTTAGGTTGGAGTATAGCTAGTAGATATCAGTAGCTTCTTTTTTAATACTTACCCTGTATTAGTTTTATAAAAAGTAAAGTTTTATAAGTTAAGATAAAGGACGTAAACTTGTGTGCAAAATATTATTTATCGCTTGACTCGACACCAGATAATTGTAACGAAGTGAACAGAAAATTTTTTTTTAATCTTTTTTTATATTAAAAAATTAAGGAATTTTCAAAAACTTTTGTAGTAACTTTATATAAAGTTGTAATACTTTTGATCTAAATTTCGCTTATAACCTTTTGCTTTTTATTATATATTGTTTTACTTTTTGTACTCTAATTTCAGCATTTCCTTTTATTTATACCATTTTTTTAATAGATTTTAAAAGATTTTATTGTAAGACGTAAGATACTGGAGGGCTACCGAGTAAGTTACATTCCCGGTTGGGATTGCCATGGACTGCCTATCGAGATAAAGGCTCTTCAGAACTCTGAAGAAGATGCTCCTCGTGATGTAGTCTAATTAATTATTTAGATTTGAAAAAATTGAAACCTTTAATTTTCTTTCGAATTTACTACATCTCTAGTTTTAGAGAGACTTCATATTTAAATCAACAATGTTTTTAATTATTGTAAGATTCCCTAACATTGTAAGCTTTTTATTGTTTAAATTAGTTTTTATATAAATTTGTAAATTAATTTATTGAAAATTGCTTTTTTAAATCAATTAAAGTTTTTATTTACAGTAGTGATTTTTATAAAAAAGTAATTTTTTTTACTTAGTAAGGAGTACTTCTTAAGTTTTGTTTTAGGCATTGTTGTTGGTACAGCTTACGAGAAATTTTTTTTTTTAAAAAAATTCTCTACAATTGATTTATGCACTTAATTTTCTTTTGGTTACAATATTTTTCTCTATTTAAACACACATCTATTACAAGCGTTTTAGCCCACAAACTTTATTTGAATAATTAGAAGAACGTACTTAATAGTAAATGGTATTTTCTCTTTTGCTTAGGAAAACATAGTAAAAAGTAACTGGGAAGTACAGCATCTCACTCTTAAACCCCTGAGATTCGACATTAAAAAAAAGTTAATATATAATTTTAAGAAAGGAGCGTCAAAGTGCTTAGTACTTCAGACTTCTTTGCTTTTCACTTTTAATGATAAAAATAACCACTAAGTGGATTTAAACTTGGTAAATTTACAAAAAACTGAAGGCTCGTTAAAAAAAATTTTTTTTTATCATGTTTATGATTTGTTATGTATTGAGACAGTATAATAAACCTCAAAAATAGTTTTAATCTTTTAATTTTAAAAAGATCTATCCAAAATGCCGAATTACAACTTAGGTCAATTTTTAAACGTTTGATTATATTGTCTTTGCTTTCCTTTTTATTAATAATTATGCTTCAGTGTAGCTTAAGATATAAAAAAATCTATAATTATAGTTACTGCCAAGATTTACTATTTGTTTGCCTCTTAATCTCTGCATTAAATCTATAAAGTGTACTTTTCTTTATCCACTTGATGTTTATCTTTGCATTTTAGCTAAAAAATTCCCTAAATTATAGATCGCTATCCTTTTTTTTTCTTCCTAGTTAATGGTTCAAGTATATCAAAAGAGCAATCTCTAAAGATAATTGAGACAAATATAATTTGTAAGCATCAACGGCGCTAAAAATAATAAACTAAATAAAATTTAATGGTTAGGTAGAAGGTTTGTGTAAAGTCTTTGAGTTTATTTTTTCTTAGTTTAAAAAGATTTTAAGTTTATATAAAGAAAGAATTGTAGATTTATAAATACTGCGTTATAAAAATGTGGACTTTTTTATTATGGTTTAAAAGATATTTTTTAACTTTATTTAATTATTTTTTTAGCAAAGTTATGAAAAGGATGTTTACAAGTAGAAAAACTATTTTATTTTTTAATTACTAATTTAAAGTTGCTTGTACTTTACAATTTATTTATAATTTTTTAATTTTGAATTAAAATTACCTTTAACGTTGCAGCCACTTCAAATAAGAAGGAAAGCACGCAGTTTTGCTCAAGATGCTGTAGCTTTGCAGAAGGCTGCCTTTCGAAGATGGGGGTTCCTTTGCGATGCTTCAGCAAAAGTTGCTTATTCATTAGCCTATTTGCTATTGTTCAGGGTTATTGCTGACTGGGATAACGCGTATGAAACAATGAACAACGAGTACGAGGCAAGCCAGGTTATCGCTTTTACTGAAATGTTTGAAAAAGGTCTAAATTTTTTTTTTAAAATTAAAATAAAAATTTAAATTTTGAGGAAAAAGATTACGGAAATGTTTATAATTTTTTCGAGTTGTAATTTGAATATTTTTTCTAATTAGAGTTTTATCGCTAACAGGCCATATTTATCAAGACTATAAACCTGTTTATTGGTCTCCTTCGTCCAGAACTGCACTAGCAGAGGCCGAATTAGAGTACTTAATATTCTAGAGTCATCCAATTCGGTTACAACAAAACTTTTTATTGGTCAGATACGTAGACCAACACGAAAGCGATTCGGTGTATGTCAAGTTTCCTATAAGATGCGCGAAAGACACGTTTCTAGCGGGCTTACCTGGGGACATCCAAAACAGCGATATCCAAGCGAGTCTATTGGTCTGGACAACCACGCCATGGACACTCCCCGGCAACGTGGCTCTTTGCGTAAATCCGTCTGCCTCTTACGCCATTGCGCTGGTCGCCTTTGCGTCTCGCCCTTGCAAAGAAGTTTGGGTCTTCATGAAGGCCCAAATCTTTGACCTCTCCCGCCTCTTTGCCAGTTTGCCTTCGACATCACGTGGTCAATGCAGCCATGGACTCGCCGCTGAAGTCAGTGAGTTTGTGGTCATCGGAGAAATCCTCGGAAAGGCCTTGGTGGGTACCACGTGCTGTCACCCCATCTTTAAAGAACGCGAGTCCGTCGTTTTGTCGGCGGACCACGTGTCTAGCTATACTGGTAGGTTATTATTTTTTTTTAATTTATTTTGTTTAGTTTTTTTTTAAGGGACTGGCATTGTCCATGCCAACCCCGCGCACGGCCTTGAAGATTTTTACGTGTGCACCACTCCGGATTTAGAAGGAAAGGTGCAATACTTCTGCTGTCATAATAGTAGTTGATGGTTTTTATTTTTCTAAGGTTCTTGTGAATGACGTTTCTTCCGTTTGCTACGTGGACGACGCTGGAAAGTTCACCGACTTTGATTCGAGGTTTGCTCTTGCTTACAACCTTGTGTTGTTATAGAAAACGTTTTTTATTTTTTTTGTGTACAGGTTTTCTGGTTTGGATATTTTTAAGGAAGGCACTCAAAATATTATAGGGATGCTTTCTGGCGAAGTTGAACCTTTTCTTAAAAAAAAGAATCCAAACTCATTTTTATTAGGGACTTTTAGTAAAACACGAGATACATCTCCACCGCTACCCATACGATTGGCGGACAAAAAAACCTGTCATTTTACGATCGACGTTGCAATGGTTTTGTCGAATCGGCGGTGTTTTTTATAAAGTTTTTTTTTACTGGTGTTGAAATTTTAAAACTTCTTTTTCTTGCTGCTGTGTAGGCCCTTTACTAGCGCGAGCCTTGCAGGGAATAGAAACGCTACTGATGATCCCGGAAACGTCCAAAAACCGCCTCCACTCCATGCTTTCCGCGAGAAAAGGCACATTGTTTTCCTTTTTTTGGGCTGCAAAAAATATAGTGTTTCTAATGCTCACACACCAGACTGGTGCCTGTCCCGCCAGCGAGTGTGGGGAGTGCCGATCCCAGTGTTCTACAAAAATAACGATAAGAGACAGCGTGCGATCTTTTTTTTTTAAGTTTAGATGACGAAATAAAACTTTTTTCCCTTAGCTGTGATTAGTCGTGACATTTCACAGCACGTTGCAGGGCTCTTCAGAGCACATGGTAGCGATATTTGGTGGTCTGCTGAGCATGACGACGCTCTACTGCCCCCTTCGCGCCGGAAAGAAGGCATTTACTTTACGGCGGGTTTTCTTTTTTTGTATGATATCGATACTAATGAAAAGGACTCATTCGTGGGACGGACATTATGGACGTTTGGTTCGACAGTGGCACATCCTGGAACGCCGTCACGGAAAGTGCCACCGGATCGCACGTGGCGGACCTTTGCGTGGAAGGTTCTGTTCCAAATGCTCCCGAAGCTACGCTTTATTAAATCCACCATTCAGGCTCAGATCAGCATCGTGGGTGGTTCCAGTCATCACTTCTGACCTCAGTGGCATTGCGAGGGTTAAATCGGCGTTTGCCATTTTGTATAGACCCTTTTTCCATCTGTGTCGGTATAGAGCCCTTCCCTTCAAGACTATTCTTACGCATGGCTTTGTTCTCGACTCAGAGGGCAAAAAAATGAGCAAGTCGCTGGGAAATGTTGTCTCGCCGAACAACATCATCAATGGCATTTTTTAGTTCGCGCCTTTTTCACATGCTCATTAAATCACTCAATTTATTGTTAAGGCAATCCCAATAAGAATAAGGAGGCTGCTTACGGGGCTGATGTGCTGCGCTTCTGGGTATTTGAGTCTGTCTCCTTGCGCCTAAACGGAACCCCTCAGTCCTCTTTATGACACGAGGTGGCCAGTTCCTGTTTCACCAGTGATCTTTACGCCGGAAAGGAAAGTTTCGCGAAAAGTTCGGAAAACGTGCGAAAGTTAAGGACCTCTGGTCCTCTGTTTATGTTATTTGGTATATTTTTGTAACACTCAAGGCTGCACACCACCCAGCACGGTTTCTAATTGGCGTCCTTCATGACTTCTGTATCCGCCTTCATGGCGTCAGCCAGTCAAACATGCTCACCATCGACCGCTATATAATGGCCCGCCTCCATGCCTTCCAAGAGGAACTCAACCTTCACTACAGTTCGTACAGGTTTCTAAAGTTCTCATATATATAACATCCCTTTCATATTATATTTTCGAAAAGATTTCAATGTGTCGTATTCAGAATGCTCACGTTTACTTCGTATCTTTCTTCCTTCTATTTCACTTTACTGAAAGACAGGTTTCCCCACCCTTTTTCCTAATAGTGCCCATAAGTTAACACAATTTTAGGCTGTATGCAGCACGTGCGGACGGCCCTGAAAGACGCTCAGCGCAGACCGTCCTTTTTTATTGCTTGGAAGTTTTTACTGAGGCACTAGCACCAATTCTCCCCCACCTTGTCGAGGATATCTACAAGCACGCGCCACGGCCACATGGAAAGGTCCTACACGTCGCCTTTCGCGGCCATCCTAGTTGGACTAACAAATACTTAGGAAACAAAGGCAAGCGTACTAATGAAGGATTGGACAGCTCTTCCGGCTCCCACTCCCGACCGGGAAAAGCTACTAGTGGCCGGTAGTATTATAGAAAAACTGCGGCGTACGTTCGTTGTGGGCGATTAGCCAATCTGTTCGTTTTGTTTATAAACGCGTACTCTTATTAGCGCTTATCAACGAAAAACGTTTGGCTTCACTAAAAAATATTACAAGTAACGAGCAATTGGAGATCCGCATCGCGCTCTCACATGCCTTGAAACCATTTTTGGACGAATTCGAGGGCAAAAAAGACGAACTCAAAGAAGCCCTCGGAGGGGCCAGCGTCGAACTTTCCTTTGGGTTGTCCGGAAGCTGCAAGACAGACTCGCTGGAAGTGGAATTGTTGAGTGGTGAAAAATTGTTGTACTCCACCAATATAAGCGTAGAAAAAACACGCATGAACAAATGTCCTCGTTGTTGGCTATATCAGTCCACCAATCCAAAGTGCTTGTGCCCACGTTGCCGTGAGGTGCTTAATAAAAAACCAGCGCCTTAGAAACTTCATTATTTTTATTTACTTTATTGATTACATTAACCAGCTAAAACGTGATAACTACGTTTATTGAATAAAAAAGCGCGCTTATTTGAGGATACTTTTCCCAGAGCGCATGGGCGGTTTTTCCAAATGCCCAGTAATAAAAAAACTTCTTTAAAAAATTTGAAAGAATTCTCACATTGCCAATATTCGTTTTCTCAAAATCCACACTAGCAACGGAGATGAAGCGAAAACATGTGGAAAAACGGCGTTTCCCCTTAGGGTTTCGTAACCCTATCTTGATTGGTCGACATAAAAGGTGGCCGGCGCGCTTCACTTTAAATCCACGGCGTCCATCCTTCGTACATGTGACTGAGATTGTCAGGCGAGCGGGCCTGCTCGACCAAAGATGCGACCTTCATTGACCAAGACGGTGTCAGTTGATAGCCATTATAAAGCAAGAAACTTCCTATTGTGTAATACCTTCGCACTGATTGGTTGAAGCTGGCCTCCGGTGTCGAGCTTCCCACTGACAACGTCCCATACTTTGATAGCGTGCTTATTAAATTCTAAAACAAATGATTGGGAAGGGGGGGGGGGGGTTCAGAAATAAACGGTGAATAAAAAAAAAAAAAGAAGCAACCAAATTGCGAAAGACTATTGGATGTTTCACAAGGGCACATCGCCTGTTGTAGGGAAATATTTAAACCTAAATATATTAAACATTTGATGTTCGTTATTTTTTACACTTATTGAGTCTCCAGTCCATTCACCAAAAAGAGTATCCACGTGTTCAGCAGAAGCCTTTATATATAAATAAGGAAATAAGAAAAATTATTTTCATTAATAAACCTTCAATTCCTGGAGACGATTTTTGTCGAGCGTGTCCAACAATTTTAACTTCTCTGTGAATAACTTTAAAGCACAGTCAAAGTCGTCTACCAGCTTGGCCTGCGGAAGGGCGGGAGCTACATAGAAAAACAAGTGACAAACGGCTTTTTTCTATACTGTCCCAACAACAAGTCGTGTACATGAGCCCGAGGGCATGGACGACCGCACTGAGGATAACGCCTCGTCTATTTGCTGAAAAAGCGGTTCAAAATCCCTCCCGCACATGGCCAACGCGTCTAAGCCGACACGCTGCTCGTTTTCTATGGCTCTGAGTTCGGCGTATCTCTATTGGTTTAAGCTCGTATAAACGCCTTTTACCCAATAAAAAACGTTTTAATACAGTGTTCATTATTCTGTTCTTTTTTTGGAGAGCCTTATTGCATGAGCTCAGCCATTTGTTGATTTCCTCCGTCGAAAAAATATCGACGTGTCCCTCCTATACATCAAAAACAAAATAAGATTCCACTAATATATACAGATATTTTTTCCCCACCATGCTGAGTTGAATAAGTTCTTCATAAGCTTTCAATTGGCCCTTGACGTGCTGCAGAGACCAGCAAACGTTCCTGCGCTCCAGTAATAATGAAAAAACCTTTTTCGCCCAATTGACAGCTCTTTCCCTGGAATAAAAAATAGTGAAAGTTTAACTCTCCAATAAAAAAATATAATTCTAAATTCCTTAAAAATTAAAAATGCGTTAATACGAGCCCCACTCCCCCCCCCCACCAAATCTAAAAAAGCACATTATAGTCCACTAATTAATTAACAAAGCACTTTACCAAGGGAAAGTCAATATTCCACTGCAAAAAAAAAATAACTATTCAAATAGGAAAAATGCACTAATAAAATTGAACTAAAAAAAAATAAGGAACGGCCAATAACGCTACTGAATAAATATAACAAGACCGTACGAAATAAGCGAGGCTTTTGTGAAGTGCGCAAATTCCTGGACTCTTCGCGAAATTTCCGCGTACGTGTCGCATCGTACCTTCAAAGATAATCCTCGTTGCTGTAAAATACAAGAAATTTAGTGATAAAAATGAATTAATAAGATATATATATATATGCATTATTTATTTGGTGCGAAAAGAAACCTTTCGATAGTCCACAAACTCTTCAAGTGTCTTTATAATGTCGTGATTGGTGGTTGCAGCCCACTTCATCCGACTTTGAACGTCGCTTTCCACCATTTCCATTTGATGGTTTAAAGCTTGCAATCCAACAATACTCTCCGAAGTTTGATAGTAACTTTTTCTAATTTCATTAAAAATAGAGAAGCAGGGTAATGAAAAAATTGCCAAAAATACGCACTGCAATGCTTTAAACAAATAATTTTCCACGGTGGAGAGGCAGTCTGATTCGGCCGTCCAATTAAACGTCCAATGTAGCCGTAGAAGAGCTAAAAAAATGTTGAGTAACAAAAAAAGGTGACTTTCTAAGAAGAAAACCAATATCACAGCAGGCAAGAAGTTCCTTCGTTTCATTTTGGCTAAAAAGTTCATAAGAAAAACTGCACAAGCGCAGAAGTTTTCTTATTTGTTATTTTTTTAATATAATAAGGTTGAAGGTCAAAAGATCGGGAGAAAACCTGCACTCCGCGCGGCAAATTCTTTCGCTCGAACGAGTTTGACTTCGGGCAGAGATCGGCCACTCCTTCTCTGCCGTGGCCACGTGTTTGTTAAGCGCGGCGAGTAGCACAATTCCTTCATTAATAAGACGCTTTTGAAGGATCTAAGAATGAAGAAAAGTTGATTAAAGCTGCATCGCAGAGTTCAACATTTTTTTTTACAAATTCGTAAAAGCGCAATCCCATTGGAAAAAAAAAACTTCTCATAAAAATCGACTTGAAAAAGTTCAACAACTCGACATCCGCCTTTTCGGCGAGATAGCTGCATATATGCACGTGCGCATGGCTATACAAATTCAAAAGGAAAAAAACTAGACCTCGTGGCGGGAGAGCTCAGGCCCTTCACGTGGAACACAGCCTTCGCAATATCGCTATAAAAACTGAGGCAGACTTTAATGAAGCCCCTTTGCAGAGTATCCAATCCGCTGCCGCCATCCTCACAGGTGCCCTCAGATCGAATCCATACTTGCTCGGCTTGAGAAAAAGCTTCTTCAAGTTTGCAAAGTGGGGGAATGTTGGTCTTTTGCAAAAGTTTAACTAAGGCTGTCCTTTCTAAGTCAGGCGAAACGGACGGGTGTTCCCCATTGGACGCTTTCTTATTGGTATCACTACAATCAGTGAGCAGATTGTGAAATTGCTCGAACTCTCGTATTAAGTCCACGTCTCCTTCCAATGAGACGTGTGTGTGGACGTTGAAAAAATACGGCAGATTTCTAATCATTTCTATAAAAAACGACCGTCCGGCGCTGTTAATATGGCTGAGCGTCTAATGAATCCATAAAAATTTAAGAACACTGATAATAATGAAAAAGTTTAGGGCTGACCTCCCAAACAGCAGCCCAGAAAGTCTTAGCTCCTCTATAATCGGCGGAGCCCGACTTATTGTGTTCGTCAAGTATATTAACGATTTCACAGATAAACCGAACTTGTCCCAAAAGCGAAGGAAACGGGTTGGATGGGTTCTAAGATAAGAATAAGTAATAAATAATATGTAACGAATATAAAATAAATAAATAAATAATAAACAATAAATATTATATAATAAAGAATTATAATAATAATTGTAATAAATAAAACTAAGATAAATTACAGCAAAGCTAGACAAGACATGTTGAATAGCGCTAATCGCCGTGTGCAAAAAGACTGTAGTATTCGCTTCATTAAAAAAAGATTTCTTTATCAGTAGCACAGCTTTCTGAACAGACCCTTCGCTTCCTCTATCGGTCGACAGACCAGCCTCTGAGGTTCCGATAAGCATAGGAGTTTCAGGGGTTTCCATCAAAATAATGTGTACCGGAAATGCGCGCTCGTATTTCTTTCAACACCTCGTAGACCTCGAAGGCCGGACCTCGCGGTTGACGGTCCAGTGAAAAAGTAAACCCGCCAATATCACGGTTCATGTGCTCGCAGGTAGCTGTCCAGGTGTCGAGGTTGAACTTGTCACTATAATTCTGGTGCAGCGGATTGTTACTATAAACTTCCCGGCCAATCAAATGACGCTGCTGGCCGCCATCAAGAAAAAAAGCTGCACCGTCCTCTCGCAGTTGGATTAGTGGATTTACAACCTCCAAAAACCAAAGAAACGAAGTTTTGGGGAAGTTTAGCGGAGGACGCGCAAAAATTCCGTCATTGGACAAAAGTGTAGAAGAGGCGTCCAGCTCGTCGGTGAAGAAGTAGCGCAATTGGCGAAAGTTTTCTAATAATTCCTGATAGCACTTATCATAATTGGCCAGACGCTCCGTGAAAGCTTCACTCAAACTCTTGAACTTTTGCACCGAGTCCTCTATTGATAGTATAAACCAACAGCGATAAACACACCAATCAATAGTTACTCCAACGCAGCTTACTTTGGCCAAACTTAGATAAAAACTCGTAAACTGGCGCCGACTCTGGCAATGTAGTAGCGATTGGGTGGCTGACCGAAGCAAAAGTCGTTTGGAGGAAGACAAGAAGGTTCTGGTATAAAGAGACGCAGGCGGCCGTCTGTTTAGCCTCCTGTTCAAGCTGCAGGTCCACTCTAGAGAGCTGCATGGAGGCAAGTGAACAGTCGCTCTAACGAAAGCATGCATATAAGAGGTTACAGAGGGCGGATCACGGCCGGGCCCATACCTCTGCCTTAGACAAGGCCTCCTGAACCGCATAGAGGTCCTTTACTGATGTTCTTATTCGAGCATACCGCGCCGCTGCAGTGTCCACTTCCTTTTTCCCGTCGGCAATATAATTCTTGAGACACTAATAAAAGACAAGTACAACCATCAACCAATGAGAAACGAACAAAAAAAACTAACGGAGTGCCGCGTAAAAAGTTCAAAAAGTTTTTCAAGGAGGCTGTAAAGCTTACTAAACTTCAACCGCTTAAGCAAATAATAAACCGTCTACTGGCTCATTATTTATTATTACTATTAAAATATAACCCAATCGTGGTGCATCTCTTTGAGTCGGGCAATAAAAAGATGCATTGTGGTTTTCACATGCTCCGCGGCTTTAAGAATCGACGCGTCTTGAGCCTCAAGCCAGCTGGTGATTGGGTCATACACAAACGACTCGAGAAGCGATAACACGATGTCCTTTAATAAGGTAAACTCAATCTACCAATTGAAATGCAGTTTTGCATATAACTTTTTCGCCATGCAGAACAGACAGCAGAGCCTCGCACAAACTCATAAAAAAAGAAAGACCGCTTAGCCCCCAATCCAATGCGCTCACAATACTTTGTGTTAAGCGAAAAGGGACCTCATTAATAATAAAAGATTCCATAAAAAAAATAGTGAAGAGAAAAAGTCGTCCAACTTACACGTTCAGGGACTCGAAGTTTTTTGCCGGCCTCAAAGCAGACGTTGTAGTCGATATGCACTACTTCACCCGTACGCACGTCCAAAAGAATATTGTCCAAATGGCGGTCGCCGAGCCCTAAAAAGTAACCAACCATTGACATCGTGGCGGTGGTCCCTAACAAAGAAAAATGATTGGTTACTTTTTTGTTTTATTATTTTGATATTTTTTTTACTGTTTATTATTAATATGTTTATTCATTTAGTTCGCATTTTTATTTTTTTAATAATAATAACTTATTGATTGTCTTTTTGTTTTATTATTTTTATTAAAATATTTATTATATATTCATTCAATATTCCTTAAAACATTTTTACATTAAGTTAGTTTACATTTTATTATTTATAAATAATAAATAATAATTTATTTATTTTTGATTATCGTTTTGCTTTAATATTTTTATTTATATATTATTTATGAAAAAAAATTTAATTTTTTTGAATTTATATTTTATTTTCTATTTTTTTAATATTTATTAAATATTTACTATAGAAAAAAATTTATTTATTATTTATTATTATTTATATAGTAATTTATATGTCAATTTTTGTTTTACTATTTATTTTCTTTAAATTGAATAATTTTTATTAAAGTTTATATAATTTATTTAGCAATTTTTTTTTATATTTGCTGTATTACCTTTTTATAATTATATTAATGATTAATAAATATTATTACTTATTAATTTTCTTTATAACTTTTTACTTGTTATTACTTATTTTTATTAAATAATATTTAATTAATAATTAATAAACATTATTATATATTAATTTATTTATCACTTTTTATTATTTATTTTTCATTATAATAATTTTTTAATTATAGTTAGTATATATATATTTTTTTTCATGTTAATTTCTTTATTACTTTTTATATATTATATATTTTTTTTATAATTTAGTAATATATTTCCAAATCGATTTCTTTATTACCTTTCATTTATTATTATTTTTTTTTAATTAAAAAAGTAAATTTTCATATTGATTTCTTTATTACTTTTTACTTATTAATATTTATTTATAACTTTACGAACGACTAATTCATTTCTTTGTTATTTTATAATCAACTTCATATTATAATATATATATACAATTTTTATTAATACACCAAAAACTAAAGTTTTACTATTGCTTCCTACTATGTTCTTCACTAAAATATAACAGATTAATATTTTTTCTCTATATCAAAAATTTTCTATTTTTCTTATATTTCTTATATTTATCTTTATATTAATTTACCAAACAATTTTTGTTTTATTAATATTTAATATTAAGTATTTATAAATTATATTAATTAATAATTTATTTTTATTACTAAAATTATTAATTTTTTATTTTGTTTTATTACTTTTTATAATTAAAATATTCATTACTATTATATTATACTTAGTATTTTTTATTTATAATAATTGTTTTAAAGAATTTATCTATGATTTATTATTCATTCACTTTTTTTTAATAATAATTTTTATCCACCAACCCACAAACTGCTGCTTCTTGTACAACCAATGGGCATTGGAGTTGGCGAAAAGAAGAATTGAGTCTCGAATCAAATGCGACGGCCACTCTTTGCATAACTCTTCAAAAACTTCTCTTAATAATTCTGTAATTAAAAGAATTCATTATAGTAATAGAAATAATATCAAAAATCATTAATAAAAACCTTTTGGCCAGTCCCTCCGAGAAGTGCCCTCAGCCAATTGGTACTTCGCTAAACGAGCCTTAACTTTCTGCTGAAAAATTTCAGAAGCTTTAAAGCCGCCTTGCCCGTGTGCCGTCAGATGCCACTGCTGCATCAGCAGTGAACCAAAACGCATCAAAGGCGCCAATCAGAAGGCACCTTATACAGCGTGTACAATGGAACAAGTCCGGCCACCCATTGGATAAGGCCAGAACGGACACCTGTAGGAACCACGGCGTATGTCCTGGCGGGGCTAGGACGGTGGTTGGCTGCGTGTTTCTTCGTTTTCTAGTGGGGCTAGCAAGTAAAGATGTGATAAAAAAAGATATCAATAAAAAGCAAGGACTCGATTCAGCAGGAGATTGGTGGTTGCCAGAAGCTGCATGATCCTCTCGTCCACTCGCAGATCTTCAGACCCCTTAAACAAGTACGAATAGTAAAGCCCGTCAGACCCGAGAAAAGTAAGCTTTTTCGGTTTAGTTTTGGTGGGAATCAAACACACCTGCAACGACCAATCAAAATAAGTTATCAATGACAAGCACTAATGATTGTTCTTTTACTTTATTGCATATTTTTTCAATGGTAGTCTCTCTTCCGGCGCCTGGCATGGACACAGCAAAGCCTTTCATAGCATCCAAGCGCGTTGTTATTGCTTCAAGCATAAATATAAACCCGCTTTGATGGGAAGCCAACAGAAGTTCTTTTCTGTGTTATAAAAGTTATAATAATAATGAAAAAGCATAGTAAATAAAACGTATCACCAATACCTTATTTTACTAAATGGTTCCCACAAGTGAACGATTTCGGTACTTTTAAATAAACTGAGCCCGGGATGCTTCAATTCCTGGATGGCAGCCGCCAAACGGTCAAAAAATGTAGAGCAAAACCTTTAATGGTTGGTTATATCTTTGTTCACTATTTATATACAAAAATATTTTGACCAATGTTCGTGCTTGGTCGCACAATTCTCAGGACTTGTCACCCGCAGAGTTTGCTCTGTTCATAATAAAGTAAAGAATTCCATAAAAATTAACGCCAGAATGAAGAAACCCAATTCGTTGCAAAGTGGTGTGATTATAGCACTATACTGGTCGCTAATAAGGGCTATTTGCTGCTCAGCAGCCAGCGAGTCGTTTTGCTGGCACCGTTTAGATATTTCTTGAACCTTAAAAAACCGATGTACCAAAAAAGAAACCAATAACGCATCCGCGTTAAACCAAAACGCACGCGAAGAAGCCGCTGTACGGCGTCCGGGGACCAATGGGCAATCTTATCGATCCATATGTCCTCCCAGAAAGGAGAGATCCGCTTCGCAGGGGGCAACGTTGTCAGAAACGAATCAAAAGTGTCGATTTTATTATCATACATTCAATTCTGAGATAAGAAGTTGGGTGTCGGAAACAGTGGCGGGCGAGCGGCTCTTAATTGTCTCAAACAAGCGTTGCACACGTGCAAGGTCGTTACCTTTGTCTAATTTGAGCCGGCTAAGCAGATATCCAATAAAAAGAAAGATGGGCTTACATGATTGGCCTGCCGTTTTGTAAAGGGTAAGCACAGGAAAAATAAGAGCCCGCGGGAATGCCCGTCCGCATTGCACCAGCACAGTCTCAATAATATCACCAGCGGCGTCGTCCGGAGTCACCACCGTGGCCATTAACTGCGGGATAATCTTTTCCCTATTAAATAATCATTAAAAATTGATAAATAAATAAAAAATCCACCAACCAACAGGCTGGAGGGACAACTTGAAGCCAATCAAGCAGAAGTGGCTTGATAATGGGCCCCAACATGACCGCGAGCGTCACGAGGCGCAGAGCAGATTGCATGCCCGAATGTGGCTAGAAAGGTCATAATGACCACGTGCTAAAACACGCTTTTTAAGGTCCAAAACGGACCTTTTTAAAGTAGAATTTCTGAAGAAACAATGAGTAATGCTCGGCAGCGCTGCAAAGGAGGCCACATGCACGCCGCTGAACTTTGAGCCAAAAATTCTGCAAGGCAGGCAAGACGGCTGCCTGCCCTTCACTACTAAGAAGGGGCTTCACCGTGTTGGTAACGGCCTCGTGGCCATAAAAGCCGTATCTTTCACAATGCGAAGAAAAACAATGAAGCGTAAACTTTAATGTTTATCTTTATATAAACAGCTTCATGGAACCTAAAAAACTTTGCATGTTTAGCATCTCTTAACCATTGGTTACTGCATATCACGTGTCTGATCGTCTTTAATATGTATGGTTACCATTATATAGTAAGAAAAAGAAATAAACTTTACGATAGAAGTATCATCAGAAAGTGAGCGGCAGATGTCTTTAAGCTCGTCGAATTCACAATCTTTATAAATCATGAAATTTATCATTAAAATATATGGAATTGCGTGGAGCTACCAAGAAGTGAGTGCTCTTCTTTAGTATCCGGCGAGCGTAGCTGATGAAAATGAGCCAACCCTCTTTGAAAACACCAATTCGCATAATAGTAGAGAGCCTAAGCGGAAAAAAAAGATGTTATAGGCTACAACAACCACGACACGTAGTAGACTTTGCTATTATGGGCATCCAACGATCGGCTCATGTCCAGTAAGAGGCCGTCAAGGGGGCTGGGAGAGTCAGTAGAGCGTCTTTAAAAAAAAGAAGCTCCATCGCACTCACAAAAAAAAGTACAGATCACATGGCCCACCTCCACTTATATAAATGGACAAGCAGCATTGCTTTCAGCGAGTCGGAAAAAGCACGAGTATCATCGTCGACACCAAGAGCCTGCAAGAAAACCCGAAGGGCGCTGTCCGGGGTTGGCGGGTTCAAATTGTCGAGCACGAAGGCTTCAGCGCCACGGACGCCACGTTTTTCATTGCAAAATTTTATTCTGAAGTATTCCAGTTGCTCATGTGCAGAGAGGTCGGGCACCGGAAAAGAGCTGGCTGCGGAGTAGAGGTGATCAGTCAGGAGGTAGTTTTTAGTATCCTTTGCCTTCTTCAACAAACAGAAAAGTGTATCGAAATGCAGGTGTTCATATTCTTTGCGTGCTTCCTCTTCAATGGTTGCCTTGCAGAGCTGACGAACCAATCGCAGTAGGCCAACGAGAGCGCTTAAGGAGTGCGTGCTTCTGTATGACTTTGTATTTCTGCCGAGGCAGAGAAATAATTTTTGTAAGTCTTCAGCGGTTGTATTCTCAAACAGCACGTGAAGGTTGGTGTCTTTTTTACTCACTATAAAAAAACAGCAGCTCAACAATACTAAAAGGCAACGAGAAACTGAAAATGCATGTTTTCACCAATCAGAGAGGACTGCAATGAAATATAAGCGGACACTATAGAAAGTGCGGTTTCATAGTTTTTGCTAATATCCTGAGAACAAACAAAATAAAGAAGTGTAGAAACAGAAGAGTCGAACAGTTTGTTGAAGACAGCAACGCTCCTTCAAAAAAACGTGAGAAAACGTAAATGGACAAAAAGAAAAGAGGCGTCACTACCGGTCTTTATCACTGGTAAAGTACCAAATCACATCCGTGGGGGAAGGGACGCCTAAGTGTGCGCTGCAAAAGGAGAAGAGCGTGACAAGTGTTAGGGAGTTTTTTATGAAATAGTCTCAAAAGTACCCAAAAGTGAGCGAGTCTTCACTAGCAAGAGCCCAGGAACTCTCAAATTTTCGGAGTGCTTCATTGACGTCAAAGAGTTCTAACTGGGCAGCTGGCATTAAGGGCTGACCAACCACAGAGGAGCCCATGCCCACCAGGACAGAGCATCGCTCGATTCGGTCGGAAAGAAAATCAAGCAGCAAATGCAAACAGAGGTTCACAGCCGAATTTGACGGAGAGGCTTGCGTTCCCTTCAAAAGTGCCGGGCAATTTTTAAGAAATGTAGGGTATAGTAACAAGGTGGAGGTCAGGGGCGGGCTTTCCTGTGAGGACGGATGAGGGTTGTCAAGGCTGCCAGAGCCCGGAAGCAATGTGACAGGCAACGGGCAAGAGTGCCCCAAAATTGCAATAACGGTTTGCTTAAGCGAAAAATATTCCAGCAAACATTGCTCGTAGCGTTCTTGCAATTCCCACGAACAAGCTTTTAAGAAGTCTTTTATAAGAGGAAAAAAGTCTGCTGCGGGCTCTAGAAATATAACCATACACAGCATTAATAATAAGGAGAAAAACTCTTTTCTTACCGGGAAGAGTAGGAATAAAGCTTTTAATGCATGTAAGTAGATTATCTTCTACGGAAGAAAAAACATCAGAGCCTATAAGAAGGCCGAAATTTGTGAATTATTTAAGCGAACTGCTCGTATGAAAGCATGTGGCAAAAAACCTTTAACTTCTATGGCAGAGTAGACAGTCAATAGCAGAGACCAAAAAAAGGGTACAAAAAGTTCACGGTGTTTACTAACGCCAACATCCCCTGAAATCTGCTCTGGCATATTCTCGTTCAAGTCTATGGGTAATGGTGGAGACACGTGAAGATTTTTTTGTGATACGATAAGCGCGTGGGTCATGTCTTTGAGAAACTCAAGCCCAATTCTTAATGAGCGCTATGACGTAATAGTGAAAAGCCATTAAGATAGAGAGAAACAGACGTGGGCACTCACGTGGAACTGCCGAGTCAAAAAAGAAAGGCCGACCAGCGGGACACGTATACGGGAAAACCACTCACGACAGACCTGCATACAATGTTGGTGGCCCACAGAAGAGAGAAAATTCACTAAAAAAAATTAACCTTGGAATTCCCGTGAAAGAATGAGGCGACGGCCCTCGTAGAAGGAAAACAACAAAGGCCGTTACACATGCCAACAATATGCTATAAAATGCACGTGGAGTGAGCAGGCAAAAAAGTTTAGCCAAACACGAAGCTGACCTTTTCAAGTAGATCCATGAAATGAAGAACTAGCTCAACCCGGTGAAGAGCAGTCTCTGTGACGGGTTTGGCAAAGGCGTAACTATAGTCCTCCTATTAGTAGATCGCGGAAAGAACATGCCTTAGTAAGAAATATCCACATGTGCTGGCCTTACAGTGACTTTAATTGGCTGTGTAGAAAACTCCGTCAATATTTTATGGAGCTTAGCACTGAGGTAAGCAAGCGTGGCGCTGGGCCCGCCATATGGCGTGCGCAGTCTAAATACAGAAGAAAAGAGATCGAAAAAAGCAATTAACTAAAAAAAACAACTTATTAATGATGCAATAGCGAGAAGCCTCATTAAGAGCCCACAGAAGCGGAAGAATAGCGGACCGCCCATACTCCTCCTGCCCGCCATCAGCGACGGAATAGTCGCCGAACCCCTCGCTTTCTATTGGGCTCTTATTGGACAGCTTCCCATGCGGGGGAAGCTCTCTGACTCGCGTGTTAAAATTAAGCATGTGGAGGTTGCATTCGTCACTCCTGATAATAAATTTGCTTTGCTTAAGAAGAAGGACAATCCAGTCAACCTAAAAATAAATAGTATGGCGCAAATTAATCATAATCGGTAACCATGAGAAGCACCTCATGGGAAGAATTTAATTTTTCTGGGTCAAATAACTCCGAAACAAGCCGACCAAAGTGTTCCGCAGAAAAAAGTTCGGGATTTTGAGCAAAGTGGGACTGAAATAAATCAAAACTATCGTGCATTAAAAAAATTGAGTGACCAAAAATAATAACAAACTATATAAATAGTGCCTTTTAATAGGCCAATGAAAGGGGTATCGCAGAGAATAAAAAGAAAACAGGACCGCGTAAGTGGCAGAAATGGTTGGAACAATATCGGTACAGCCAATTATAAACTCCTTTCCTACAGAGGGCAGCTGCACGAGAAAGAAAAATATGTGGCATGTTCTTTAGCACCAGACTCTAAATGAGCCAACCAAAGCCTCAGAAACGACTCTCCCTTTTAAAAGATAAGCAACCCAACACTGGGCGACTTCGAGTCTTACATCGCTACATTCAGAGTTTCCTTGGAAATATTTAATTTTTTTTTTAAAAGAATGAAATATAATGGTCACCGTGCACGAGTAAAATGTCTACAATCTGTTGGGAGTTGTCCATGCGGCGGCTAAACTGTTCCAAGTGGCTCCTGCAAGCCGTATTAGCACTTAACATAAACGACCGATAGAAGTCAAGGGAACACCTGATGAACTTCAGCCCCTTCATAAGCAACTCCAATGAAACACGTGAGTTTCTGAGAAGAGAAAAAAGCGTATGTTCAACCACCAACGATTTGGTGGGAAACCTACTTATAAGCATATTAATAGCCAAACAAAAATCCATGTGTTTAAATGGACCTATCAATGAGCTCGAGAAAAACACTAGCAACACTCTCGATGATAATGGAATGGTCCCCCTCGCCTGTGACAGACGATGGGTCAATGCTAAGCACACGCACGATGCATTCGATTAAGCTCTCGCGTGAACAAGCGCCAGTCAACGCCGTTTCGTGCTGCAAAAGCGTGTGGAGGTGGGCCCGACAAACGGACAACTCAAAAAGTATTGCGTTTGTGTCATTCTTCGTAATTGGCTTAGCCCCATCTTTGCGAAAAAGTCTTTCAAGGCGGCTTTTGAGATCCGCCAAAAGTAAGAGGCTCACATGCTTGCAAAGTCTTGTGAAAAAAAATAACGAACAAAGTTGACAACTAATAAAATATAAAGAATACGATTTTGAAGAGAGCAAAGCAGCATAAACGGCCAACAGTATTTCTTGCACGTCCACGCATGGAATAGAGTGCAAATCCAACAATGACGAATCATGTGTCTCACTTAGCGCTTCCTCAGTGCTTCCCAATTCGCTTGTTATGGGGAAAAAATAGTCACAAACAGCCAATTGAACAACGTCAACAACGCGATGATCCGCGCATTGATAACAACTTTTTATTATCTACAAGAGTTTAATTATCGACAAACCGCAGTGCAAAAAAAAGAACGACGCACACATAAAAAAAGATTCAGAAGAGAGCACGTGTCCTCAACGTGCACCGAAGTGGTCAGTGCTAGCACAGAAACGTTTTTGACTAGCCTGTCAAGAGATTCACTTCCAAAATCGGTCAAATTTAAATACGGCAAAAGCAAATGGAGTATGTCTGCAACTTTTTATAAAATAATTAAACGTCATTATTATAAAAAATAATTAACTAATAAAATTGTAATAAAATTTATTAAATTTTATTAAATTAATTTAGCAGCATTTGAAAATTTAAACAAAGTAAATATTTGTAATACAAATTAGTATAAAGCTCAAATATAATTATCTTCAAAATTTTTACAAAAAAAACTAAATAATTAAATCAACGTTATATGAATACTCGAGGAAATGGATGGGAAATCCACTGAAGCCGAACTTTTAAGGCGAGTGAGTACATCGAAGCTTTCAGCCACGGCGATGCACAGCTCGTCTAAAGTCATACAGCAGCCTTCTGAGTCGGCCTCACGTGGTCCTCTTCCACTGTAGCGACAGAAATCGATATTTTTCCCAATTAACACGAAACATCTGCGTGCCAAAGTCAAGTGGTTAGTACGCTTTGGACAGAAGATTATGGAAAAAGTACTTCGAAAAAGAGTTGATCCCCAAGCAAGTAGACTTTGAGCTGATTTTTGTATTATTATAGTATGCAAGTTTTTTTACCATTTTATTCTAGTTATAAATAAAAATAAATGAGAAAATTAAAAATTAAAAGCCATCAAAGAAATGAAATTAAATATAAAAAAAAACAAATATAAAGTACAATATCAGAGGCAAGCTGCTTTAGTATATGAATTGTGAACGAATCGTACTTCCTCCAGTAATCTTTCATACTCGAAAATAAATCTTTAAAAAAGTCAACAAAATATTTTATAAGAATTAGAAATAGAAATTAAATTTTACCAACAAACCAAGAAATTTGCAAATTATTTAAACTTTCATCAATGCACCAACCAACTAACAGGTCCGTCAGACTCTTAATTGTATAGAATTTAATAAATAACTTAAAAATTTTCAAATGTAAGAAAAAAACTTTGAAATCAGCCAAGGAAACTTCATAGCGTTGAAATATGAGAGACACAATATTAAAAATCCTAAAACAGGTTTTAAAGTAATTTAAAATAATTAAAAACTAATAAAAATCTTAACTCTTTTAATAAATTTGGATTCTCAATAGTTTCTAGAAGATCTTTTACAGAATCTATTAAAGAGAATAATGTTTGCTTAAAAAGAAAATTCTCATCCTTCTGTAAGGCCTGAAAACAAAACAAAAAAGTTATATATTGTATTAAAATATAACTCTCTATGCCCATCTTACTATATAAAAAGAATTTAGGAGCGAGATGGTAAGTTCTTCATTTTTAAGGTAAGGGATAGTCTTGAATAGAAAGCTGTTTGTATAAATTTATAAATATCTTAAATTAAGTATTTTTTTAATTAGTATTGAAAAACTTAAATGCCCTCGAAAAAATTTTAAAAGTTCGAATATAGGAAACCTTTTATAGCGCCCTGCAGATTTAGCATCACACAAACTATTAAAACTTAAAGCTCTTCCGATAGTAATTAAAAAAAAATGATTTTCTTCTTTCGTGGCGTTTTTAATACCGCTGTAGATATGCAAGTAGCAAGTACCGCAAAGTTGTCTAAATAAAAAATAAAATTAGCGCTAACCAAAATTCCCCGACTAAAAACTTCGAAAGACTTTGCAAAACAAAGTCAAAGTCACGACTAAAAACAGGGAATGTAGCTGGATTGAAAGCAATATTTTGGAGTTGTAAAGCAAAAGTAATCCTTCTAACAATACTTCCACGCTCTTCTACTATCTTTTTAACAAGCTGCTTGGGTTCAAAGTTTTCATCAAAAACTAAACAAAAAAGTACTTTTTATAAGATTATAAAAATATACAATAAAACACCAGATAATAAGGAAGTCTCCTTTACAATTGTTTCCAAATCTCGTTCAACCTTTTGAATATATTGCTTTTCCTCACGGTAAGGTATATCATATTTTTTTGAACTTTTTGAACGTCTTCTCCGAAGCGGAGTACAATCACGCTCGGCATGTTTTTTTATAAATTCATCCTCATTAACTCTTAAATTGCTGTCTTGGCCTAAAGTAGTAAAATTTTGATTTTTCCAAGTGGATTCATTGCTCAAAAGATCCAAATTTTTTACTCTTTCTGGCTTCAGGATACTATACACGGGTGTTACATCAATATTATGAGAGCTTTTATTTTTATAAGAACTTGTAGGAAAAGAAATGTCAGATACTTCCATCCTCTCAAAACTTAATTTGTTTCGAAAATTAGGTTTATTAGGAGAAGAACGAGGGCGCCTATCTTTAAAGTTTTTCCCAACTTTTAATTTTACCGTTGTTTCCTTATAGTCTAAGTCTTTCTCATTAAATTTATCCATTAATTTGTTAAGATCTTATATATAAAAAAAAGGAAAAATATTATAAAACTTTAAAGTGTTGTAAAATGTAGCCCACCAAATGAAAAATTTGTGCTTCAAAAACGGAGTACAAGAAATGACGTGCACAAGCGCACGAGTTCTCATTTTTGCGAACTGGATATAGAAACCAATAAAAACCTCAACAAATAATGTAAATTCAATTTAACAAAGACGCAGTAAGTAATTTAGTTACGGCAAATTAAACACTTGAAAATTTTTGAATAATGAGATTGATAAACATTTTATACAATATTTTTAAACTTCATGAGAGAATTATTTTTACAATATGCCCGGTAAATTGGCCTCTGCTTTGGTGTGCATAATATCAATCTAGTATTTACTTCTAGTTGGTCTTAATAACCCAGAGTGCAGCATCGGGGGTTTACTAATTAGTAGCAGAAACTCAGCAGAGCATCGATGGTCTCCGACAGCTTTGCTCATGGGTATCCAGGTATCGCGAGAGTTAAACTCCATTTTATTAATATAATTAAAAGGTTCCCGGTCTTGCCAAAGCACAGCTAATATAAAAACATTGAAATAATCTTAAAATTCTGCAAAGAGAAGCGGCCATTTTTAAGGGCAGCATCAATTAATATGATGCAAACTATTACGGCCGCTATAACCCAACCTGCCTGCTCTCTTGTGCTGCGCAGACTTAGAGACTTTTGTGAAGACGAGCATTAGATTGTAAAATCTCGTATAAGTTCAGGTCCAAGAACTTCAGGACACAGAGTCACTAGTGACTCGTTATTCTACATTAATGAAGTCCCAAAAAAAAGTCGTTTTTAAAGACTTAAAGAAATTTTTGCGAGCTCCCTTCCGGATGAACCTGTCTTTCACGCTCACCTTGACACTGCGCAACATTCGCTGACTGCAGAAGTTTGGCCGAGCTCTCTACTTTCCTCATTGTTTTTTACATTATAGGTTCAACGCCTTTAACATGGACAGCACGGAGATCTACGCGTCGTCGAAGAGCTATAAGTAAATATGTCAGTACCTACCAACCCTACTAGGAACCCTTGTTCGGGCTAGAAGCCAGGTCCTTTTAATTTAAAATAAAACGCGGTGCTGCTTTCTTCCTTCTCTACTGCAAACGCGGTGACCCTATGGAACTCTCAATTATATACTTAGACTTATTATAAGCGATAAGTTATCATTAAGAACATATGATAAGAATGTGTGCTCTTTACCTGCTACTCTGCGCAAAACCAAGTTATCCCTATGCAATAAGTTGCTCTTATAATCGATGTGTACACGGCCCACTGTAGCCCTTCAATGCATCATTCATTTTGGCAGTACTGAAGTAGGTCAAGACAGTCTACTGCCTCTGCTACCTGTATTCCGTATTTCATGCGTAATGACCTATTACTTCAAGACGATAGGTAGTGCTTACCTCGATATTCGTCTTCGAAGAGCAACAGCCGCCGCCCATGGAAGTGATGCTATTTAATTAAAATCAGGAGGAACAAAAGTAAAAGGAAGACCAAAAAAAGGCGTGTTTATTTTTATATAATTTTTGTGAACGCTTGGTAGGTCGAGCGCATATCGCAGTTATACTTTGGGCGCAAGTGGGTGCCCGAACTTTGAAGCACAGTTTCGTTGAAATGATAACTTTACTAAAAAGTAGTTTTTAATGCAGTTATCTAATAGATTTTCAAAGGTGGTTTCAGCCTCATATGAGGACGGAATTATCACTGATAAGTTTTATATAACCCATAATTGGCCGTTTGTCGTAACTTTTCGTCCATAAAAGATTGCTATAACTCAATGACTTTAACCTGCATTTTAAGCTATGGAGTTTTAAATGACGTACTTTCCTTGGTGCAGTTAGGTATTGTTCGTTACTGTTCAAAAAGCTTTTTAAAAAGTATCTGCTTACGCAATGTCTGATCTTCTACTACCGGCCATGCATCTTAGAAGCCTTCAAAACTGCCATAATCTTTGATATTAATCATAACGCCAGGATGTTTTAGTTTTGTGTTATGGGTGAATGAGTCCAGTGTTATGTTATTAACATTTCAAGTTATTATTTTAATACCGATCTGTTCGATTAAAGGCGCTCTATTCATTGAAATTACTTCATCAAATTATCAAACTTATTTTTAAAAACCTTCGTTATTTGTAATGAGCTTTTTATATCATTTTCTTTGCCAAGTTGTCCAAAATAAATTAGCATTTTATAAAGTTATACAGTCATCTACATTAACACTTGTATCCAAATTTATATTAAAATAGGCCAACCTCATATTTTTGTAGTTACATGAAGTCCTTATAAATAAGTCTTTCAGATTCACCCAAAGTAAAGTATTTACATTAGGCTCTCTGCGTTTATATTTACATTTTCTCCTTATCGTGTCTCTCTTTTTTTACTGAACTGTAAAAAAGATGAGAGGTTAGCATTTATGTGTTTTGTCATGTTGTACACCATTTAACGCTGATGGTCTATGATATCTTGTTTCAATGTTTTTGTTATTAACTCCTAGAAGACGTATGCAAATAGATTGTTAGTGACAATAACATCCCTCGAACGAGTAATTTTTTGAACATTTTATATCATAGGTTAAATATTCATGGGGTCTGCCTGAGCCATAATAGTAGTTGTGAAGGTACATAAAGCAGTTGTTTACTCTAGAACGAGGAGTAATTTGAATTTTACTTTAAAGGAAGTTTAATGTTGAAGGATTTATAGAAAAGAACGTTAGGATGAAAAGTGTTTATTTAGAGAAGAAGAACTCAGATAGTAAGGTATTTTAAAACCTGAAAAGATTATATACATATATCTTATATTAGGATAATGTTTGTAAGACGAAAAACTAGACTTAAAGTACAAAGGAAGATCAAAATAAGTGTAGAGTCTTATTTATTTTTCTGGTTTGGGCAGCAATATACCATAAGTATTTTTAATAAAAAAAGATTGTAAAGCTTTAATGCAAACTAACTTAACCCTAGACAAAAAGTGAATACGTACATCCCAGGATTTTAGCAAACTTACCTGATTGGGGCACTTTTGTATTTAGAAATGGGACAAAGTTTTGCAATACTACATTCTATTATAATACTTTTTCGACCCACGAACTTGCAGGGCGGGTTATGGCACCCCTAACACAGACCCCGCGATGCGCTATGATCGTTTATATATACATATATATATGCAACAAATAATAAATATTAAAAATTAATGGTATGAAAATAAGTAAAGGTAGGTAAATAATTAAATCATATAATAGGATATATTAATATAGTATAGATCCGTTAAATTCTGCTATATATTAACTAAATTTAATAAATAATTGCTTTGGCTTTAGCATGTTGAAATAACGATATTTGCTATTATTTTAAAAAGTGTAAAGTACATTTTAATACTAAATATATATATTAACAACAAATAATTAGGGCGGTAAATCGAGGGTGTGGCTTTAGTAAATTTCCCAGTAGACGTTTTAAGTTAATATAATTCACCTTAATGTATTTTTAACTTACAAGAATTCTGGAAGTTTTTAATTTTCCTACCGCTCTTTTCAATTCGTTAGATTGATTTGCTTACGAGCAACGACGATAAAATGTCATTATTTCCCAGAAAGTGAACCTATTTTTTTCTTCTAAGGCCCCGCTTTAGTACCATCCACCTCTTGGTTTTTCTCTCAAAGAATTCTCTGTTCGGGCTTTAAAATTTAAATTGGAAATTATTGTTACCAAAACTAAAAGTTAGTTTGTGCATACAAGGAAGATTAGCTAAAAGCTTAAAAGAAGCTTAGTGGTATTTAAAGTACCACTTAAAAAAAATTGAGTACAGTAACAAAGCTAAGAAAACTGTACAAACGATCATTCGCAATGGCATTAATGTTTACCGAGATACTCCAAAGTGAAGTAATTATTCACGTTTGCCTAAAGAATTAAAAGTACAAATCATTTTATATATTTACCGAAAAACGCTTAAGTAAAATGAATTACTTAAGAGACCACTAATTAAGGCTTTATTATCTTACAATCCTTCTGAATTTACTCACTACTCGGAATTTATGAATACTTTACTGTATACTTTGATTCTATAACTTAATTTAAAAAGAAAGCGCTCGAAAACTTTTTTTTCGTAACAAAGTAGATAAGTTATAGTATTATAGGTACTGTAAATAGGACCAATTAAGAGTAATTGACTTTATTTTAGCTTTCGTTTAAAAAAGTGTCCAGACGTGTGATTCTCTCCTAAGAACTTTTTTTAAATTGTATTTTTGTAAAGTTCCGTACGTAAGTTAATACGTCCGTCATACTATTTACTTAATTATAGAACTCTCCTTTAATTTCCTAAATGTATATTTCAAAATAGGTATGTTACCTTTGTCTTCAAAAGTTCTTGGTGGGGGCTGGGCATAAATTAAACTTCATAAGTTAAAAGATTAATTTTTAAAAAGAAATCTCTACTTTTTTGTTTGAGCTCTTTGGACTAAAGGTTTTTTCTTAACCAGCAGACTAAACATAAAGTTTTTAGTTCTAAACAAGTATATCATCTGATGCCCTACAAACAACCAGCTTGCTTTTACTGGAACACTTTAAATTCGACTCACATCCCTCAGTTCTGGCCCCCTGTTACGACCCTAAGATGGTAAGATTCTTTAGATAGTAGGTGCCCACAGCTGAACTCTTTGAAAGCTAAGGTAGATAATATAATAAGGACAATAAAGTAAAACAATGCCAAGGAAAGATAGAACTAAGATTTTAAAACAAGAATGGATCTAAGGCACAAAGCTGTGCACGGGCAAAAATATACATTATAACTAAAAATTTGAAAAAAAATAAAAATAAAAATAAAACTTAGGAACTTGAAAGAGTGGGAAAAAAACCAAACGTAAAGAAGAGGCAAATGAAGGCGTTTTGTCAGAAAGAAGGTAACAAAATCAGCTCCTCTATTTATTTATCAAAGGCATTTCCTGGTGCTCGACCGTGTTAGAAAACTTCGAATACTCGAGCTCTCAATCAGATGTTAAATAATAGCTTTCAATTGAAAAGGTGTCATTAGTAGAGAGGCAGGAGGGCGGCGGTAACATGCCCCGTCTCAGGCTCCTAAATAAATTCACTCACGAGCAGGCGATTAGCGTGCCTGGATAGCCTGTCGTAAAGGGCATTGACATTACGTTGGAAGACGATGTCTGACCGGCCCAGTTGAAGGCCCGAGTGAAGAGCTTTGTTTTCGCACCAACCCCGGCGCGGTTGTCATCAGGCGCAGTAATTTATCCTGCCGCCTTTCAAGGTGCCGACGCTATTGCAGTGGAGTCATAGGTTTAAGCAGCAGACCCGTATGACACTATTGTCTGGATGTAAGACATATACAATTACCTTTTGTTTCGCAGAGAAAGCTTGCTCTTACCGCATAGTAAAGTGTAAAGAGCATTAGTTGCTGCTTTGACCTTCGCCAATAGATGATCCACGTGCGGCCGCCAGGAAAGTTTGTTGACAATGATTACTCCCAAGTATTCTGCTTGAGAACACCTTGTATTTTTCACGCCATCAAAGGTTAAGGGCGCCAATAAGGAGACGCATTTCTTAGTAATTAAAAGTGCTTAGTTCGTTGGCGTATTCATAGAAACTTTCTGATTACGGTACCAGTCAGCAAGGGCGTAAAGATAGCGCTGTAGATGCTTGCATAGTAAGGCGAGAGATTTCGACGATGAGTGAGTAGCCGTATCATGGGCCTAGAGGGTGATTCGTGTGTGTGGATTTGATGGCAAGGGCACGTCGCTCTTATAGTTGCAAATAAAAGAGGCGAGACTAGGGTCCCGCAGGAACCCCTGCTGATCGCAGCGGCCACTGTGGTTCTCCCGCACGCACGCTGGAGACGCGACCATTTGGATGTGACTTCAGCACGTTATAAAGGCCATGAGGAATGGATAACGAGCGCAGTTTGTGCGGCAGGCCTTCATGCCAAACTTGATCAAATGCTTTTTCTTCGTCAAGGAAGACAGCGCCTGTTGTCTTCTTATGGTTAAAAGCGCGAGTGGCTTATATAGTGAAGCAGAGGTGCTGCTGGAACGTTAAGCGACTGTGCCAAAACCTAGACTGAAATTCCGGCAAGGTGGCTTGAGAGTTAAGACCCCTTTTAGACTGCGCAGTAAGACGGCCTCACCCACTTTGCCGACCGCTGGCAGGAGACTGATGGGCAGGTACTTGCTAGTTGCTGATTCCTGTTTAAGTGTCTTTGGGAGCATCACAATGGTCCGTCTTTCATAGGATCAGGAAATCTCCAAAAACCATCGCAAGTTTTAATAATTGCTACAGATAACGTTTCCCTGTCAACGGCATTTTCTTCAGCAGCTCAGCTGTTGGAAAGCATCATTGGCAGTTAAGTGAGCAGATGGCACGTTTTGGGTAACAAGGAAATTAGCAAAAAGAGTAACTTTGTCTTCATCACCCTCGACTACTATATTACCTTCACGAAGAGGAGGTAGCGGTGCAAGTCCTCCATTTTTGATCTTATTAACAAATTTCCAAAAGAAGAACTGCTGCTGTTGCCTGATTCGTATATATGGTGCAGCTTGGCCTCACATTTATTGTTAAAATGGGCCACTGGTCATTAGCTTCTTACATGCACTCGTGCAGTCGATTAAGCGCAAGTTTGTCTTCGGAGCTCTGCAACAAGATGTCCACCTCGGATAAGACGTGGACGTTGGCGGATAAGTGCCTCTAGTTTGTCAGGCAGGCGATAGGGGTGGTATACGTTACTTCACGAGTTATCGTGGCAGTAGTGCCAACCATGTACAGTGTGCTTTCGAATAAGGCGACAGCATCATCCAGCAGGGCGGAAGTAGACGGTAGTGTTTTGAATAGCGGGAGAGTGGTTTCTAAATACTCAGAATATTTGTCCCAGTTGGTAAAAAAGCGGGTGATAGTCTCGGTTTGCCTTCTCGTCGCTAATTGGAGAATAACTGGAATGCAATCGGAGGAAAGCTCGTGGAGCGTTATAGTGCCGTGCTGAGACGTATACCTTTTAGTATAGCGATATCCAGTACGTCCATTGCCTGTAGTCACCAAGGGTGTTGGTTGCTGGGGACCTTGTATGCACATCCCGTGCTCATCAGCATAGGCCTCAAGGAGGTAGCCATTCAAATTATCGGATCGACCGGTCCATGAAGGTTGCTTCCGATTGAGATCTTCCGATCAAACAGCTGAGGAGTCGCACACAAGAGGGCGTTCAAATTGGTGGGCGGTAGTAGTTTCCAAGGAAATTTGTAGACCGCATCCCCTAGTCGGCCTATAAGCAAATTCCCACTGCCTCGTGATTTTGTAGAGCTAGCAGAGGTATCAAGTAATGCCGGGTGCTCCGTTATACCGAGACAGCCACGCCTTCCTCCGCGCGCACCGACCTGGTCCTGGTGATACTTAGCAAAGCTGCACAGGTTAAATGCAAAGTTAGATTCTTACTTCAGGTGGTAGTAAGTCTTTAAGTACCTGTTTACATGCTAAAAACGCATATAGAATTATGGAAGTTTGAAAAATGTATTGTTTGCAACTAATATTAATTCAACAAAATAAAAGATAGCTGGGGGCGCACGCTAGCTTATAACGGCCATGCTTAAGGACAATAGGAACAATAGGTAAAATTAAAGACAATAATCAGGGAGCGTTAACGGTGTATAGACCGCTTATTATTTAGAATAAATCTCTATTTAAAAATCTGTAAATAAATTTAAGGACCCATTATAGGGTTATAAGTGTCAAAAAAAAAATTAGACTAAATTTTAAAAACGGAAAACATAGCCTTTAGGTCTTCTACAATGGTAATCCTGGGTAAGAAATCCTTGCTCTTAATAGCCAAGCCACTTTTAATAATGGTGTTTTCGTACAAATCTATGTAATAAAAATAGTTTTTTGCGTATCATCGTAAAGAGAAGTTGTAATGAAGTTTACCCTTTTATGACACCTGAAAAAAGTATACCTAAAAGGAAGTTAAAAGGCAGGTTTCTAAGTACGCATCTCTACTCTCTACTCAGAACTATAAATGATTGGAAGTTTTTTATCTGTATATTTCTACAGGTTTACTGTTAAATACTGATGCGCTTAATACACCATTGCACAGTTGTTTATTGGCCAAATAATTATGCATTACTGTAATTTAAGAAAAGGTATTGCGGTTACATATAAAATATTTTTTATTATTATAACGTCTAGAATTATTAAGCGAGTGAATCTTAGAGGTCTTAAACTTTTTAGAGTTTGTGATGTCTCGAGCAACTTCATTTCGGGACACGGTTCCTTTTGGTATATGGTTGTTTTCTGATATTTGTGGGTTTATAATATTAAATAATATTAAGAAAAGAGAAAAAGCGATTCCGCTCGAATGCGGGCCAAATTTCCGGATAGAATACCCGTAAGTTTTGATAAAGTATATTATATATTAAACAGTTTATTATTTATTAATAAAGGTAATAGTGGAGCGTGCTAAGAAATGTAATCTTCTCGAGATTGACAGGAAAAAGTATCTTGTCCCTATGGACTTAACTGTGTGGCAATTCATTATCATAATTAGAAAACGCGTAAAACTTTCGCCCGAAAGGGCTTTATTTTTAATTGTTAACAACGTGATTCCATCTACTTCTGCTGTAATGAATGCAGTCTATGAAGAACAAAAATCTGCAGATGGTTTTTTATATATGACTTATACTGGTGAGGATACGTTTGGTTTGCTTAATACGTTTATATAAATGTGATGGAGTTTCTTTAACACAGTAATAAACTTTTATACCACATCTAATAAAATTTTCTAACTTATAAATAAGTACCGTACCGAAGCATCTTGCCCCTACTCTGTTTTTTAATTTTTCAATAAATATGGAATTCACAAGTATGAGTTCAGTTTAAGTAAGCTAAATTTTGCAGAAAAATTTATAGTTCCGTAAGAGGGTCCGTATATGCTAAATGGCTTATTTGTAGCAGAAAGTAACTGAGAGCTTATTGAAACATTCATGTTAGTTAATAAAATTTGCCTTTAACTTAATTAATAAGTGTTATAAGTAATCTATGGTGGATATGAGTAAGCGAGTTGGCTTGCATATTAGTAAATAATAGGACAACTTCCGAACTAGAAAGAAAACGGGTATTGATAATAACTGGAATTTCTAACTTAAGGCGAATACTTTTTATGAGTAACCGGGAGTAATAGTAACCATTCGCCACTGAGCTATAGTGACATCGTTATTTCACCTGTGTAACTTTGTTTAACTTTAATTAAGCAATATATACTTGGACTAAACTAAGTCTTAACTAATCAAAAAAGGAGGTGAAACACTGCTTTCCGAGGTTTGGACAGAAAGTATATTATAATATACTGCCATAAAAAAAAATAGTTGAAAATAAAAACAGCAAAAACAGAAGTAGCCTAACTTTATTATTAAAATTAGACTGATAGTTAATTCCGTAAATCTTTGGGTACGCTTTATCGCTGTTGATCCTGCTCTTATCTGTAAGCTACAGTAATATAAAGTGTTAATATTTTCTTAATTTTAAGGAAAAAGCTAAGCTATAAATATAAGTTACTCTTAAAAATTTTATATATTAATCTTTATCAATTAAAAATAATTTTTTTAAAGTAGCGAATTTCAATATTTTCCACATTTTTATTTTGTTCATAAAACCAATAATAAAGTTAAAAATTTACATTGATACTAGAAAAGGAAATGCGATCTTTACTTATAGAAAGTATCAGATATCGCTTTACGACAAAAAATTAATAACCACTAACCGAAAGAAAATCTTAAAGATGCTGATTTATAAATTTTAGCCAAGGTTTGTAGCCAATCCAAGGAATTTCTAAATTTTTTACACGTGTTTGGATCATTGCCGAAATGCAACTACAAATTGTTATATAGTATGTAAATAGAACCCCTAAGCAAAAAATGGCTTGTAGTGTAATAAAAAAATTGAGATGGGCCTAGCAAACTTTATTATAATAAACTCGATTAGCGTTCAAGAAAATTTCGTTGTAGTTATTGTATTTTCTATATAATATTGAACGGCGGTGGCAGTCTCCTCTTGGAAGGCCTTCGATTGCGCCAGCAAAAGCATGCGGTTTAGTTCTTTAACACTTTTCAATTATTAGCAAAAATTAGATAAATTAGATGAACGATAATATGATTAATTACAAAACGTTCTTTCTTCCTTTTCGAGAGGAAATTTTATAAAAAAAATTGGTATTAGACTCGCTCGTGTTATTCTGGAAAATTAAATTAAAAACATCTAAAAATGCTGGCTGGTATAATAAACTTGGCAGCAGCCAAACATATAACATAAAATAAGCTCTGCTACTCCGAATTATATAAATGAAAAAAACGTTATAAATATTTAAATGAAACCAAAGAAGAAACATCCTCAAGAGCAGAAAGTATTTCCGAAAAAGTTTTCGGGTGAGTAATAGGATTAACGGAAATTTTTTTCTTCTCTTCCGCAAGCTTCTTAATCTTCTCTTTTGATTTAATTTCTATAATATAACCGAGACTAAAGTACGAAAGGCTCGATTTCATCTCGGCCAAAGTTACTATTTATCCAAGCCAAAGTCTTCTTATTGCGCTTAATAAGTTTTGAGGTAGTCCGATTAATTGGCATTTTACCTAGTTGAAGTTATAAGACTACCAGTTAAAAAAAATTATGCAAAAACCTTTAAGGTCTAATTTTTTAAATTTTCTTTTTCCCATTAAGTTATAATTGTAAAATAAAGTCTTAAAAATAATCTTTCATAGATATTATTGAATATTATGCTCAGTATTAAGTTACTTTGAGTACTTATAATCTAATTCATTAGTTTCAAATTTGATGATTAATTCTCCTCCCTCCCTAATATATTCGTGAAATTCTATGAAAAACCAGGTGTTTTAAGCTAATGACATTTTCCTTAACTTTTATATAATAAAAGATCTTCAAAAGAGTTAAATACAGACCAAGTATGACAGTTATGTGGCCTAAATAAAAAATAAAATGGAAATAATGCTTGAAATGTAAAAATATATCGTAATATATATGTCAAGTCGATACGACGCTACTACAGTAACTGTTCTCCCTCTTCGACGCTAGATAAATGCATTCCAAGGCTTAAAACCTAGTAACACTAGACAGAGATTTTACAGTGCAAGTTTTTAGTAGCACTAAAAAAAAAATTTCCCAAAACAGCAAATTAAAATGTTTGCGGTATAAAAAAGATTATAAACTACTTTAAAGAAATGTATATAATTTTTTAAACCCTATAAAACGCGAAACTGAGAAAAACGCTGGCAAAAATTGGAGGGCACTAAAACTTTCGTTATATGAAACTGCGTGTGCAGGGGGGCCATACAGATTCGACTTCTGTTTTTCGTAAGTTTTGCGATTTTTTTTGAGGGAAGGTTTACATATAAATGTTAAGGTAAAAAGTGTAGAGTTATTAGGAGTAACTACTTTTTCGGTTGATAAATTACTTACAAAACTTTTAATAACCCCCTTTAGGTTGAATTTATGAAAATTACATATGAAAAGAGGACAACTTTATTTGCACAATGAGTTTGAACATATTAAACTCGAATTGAAAAAGAGGAGTTATTAATTTAAGAGCACAGACACCATAAATTATAATAAAACAAATAATTTTTTTTTATAATTTCCTTGTTTGTGCCAGAAGGTTCTCTTTTTTTATCATAGAATTACATAGAATTGGGTTTTCTTCTTAATACTTTTGCGGATGCCTAAAATCTTCGAGAGAAGGCTGCTTATTTTTATACAGGACAACAATCTCAGTTTATTTTTATTTTTTAGAATTATATTGACAATATTATCGTAAAACTAACGGCAAGTGGATAGTTAACTTATTTTATACGTCACTCGTAAATTACTCAAACGATTATCGAAATACTTAGCTTAGCTCAACGCAACTTTACTTAAGTTAGCAAAAAGGTAGAACGTAAAACCTTTGTAGTGTTATTTGTCTTCTTTGCTTGAAGATATGCTGTAATTTTAGTCTCTCTCTGCGTGGTTACGTGTTGCTTTTCACATACAAGAACGCTTAGGGCGAGCGAAATTATTTACATATATATATATAAACAAACTAAAGGCGATGCCTTGCAAAGTACTAAAAAATTTTTGGTGGACGCTTGTAAGGCGATCTGATGCAACTTAAGAGTGCTATAATGCACTAACTAAAAAAAAAGAAACAAATAGTTACCACCCTTTAGTTAGTAAGTTTCATAATAGTAAATCTTTGAGGAAACAAAAAGAAAAAAAAATTTATTGTGCTATCGCTCTAGGCCATGTCGCTAAGTGTCGGTTCCGTAAGCAGTGACAGCTGCGCCTTAAAAAATGTTAAATTTTCAACTACGCCAAATAGTACACCCCGCTTTAAGGGAACAGGATATGATTTATGGAGGTATATCGAATCCTGTCAAAGGGAGTGTCCTTGCTTGAAAGATACGTTATGCTCCCGTTAGCAGGCGCAGCAGTTCGCTTTGCTAACTTGCAACGCTGCTATTGAATACCAGGCAAGAAGGTGAATTTCACATATAATTTGTTAGCTCTTGAAACTGGTTATTTGCTTTTAGTTAACCGACCATCTTTAATTTGTCAGCTTTTTAAACTTAAACAACAACAGCACTAACTAAATACCAAAACGAGTGGTCAATCATTCGAGTTCCCAGTCCTTGCAAGACAAGTTATAGCAAAGGAGCGCTGAATAAAAAAAAAAAAATTAATGTGTGCTCATTATATGAAATAAATATGACCGTATAGATAATATTTAAAGAAATATTATAGAATAATCCCATACCTATTTGAACTTATAATATTTGAACAAAGTACTTACTGTGAAACTTTTAAGACTGAGCTATTTTGCTTATAAATTAACAGTTTAGCAGCTAATTTGTTCAGAGACCGTTAAGTACTGATTACCGTCTAAAATAAAATAAGACAATCAAAAATAAGCTATCAGGCAACAAAGTACACTTCTAAAAAACAACTTTTTTATTGTTTTTATATTGTCTAGCACAGACATACTACGGCCGGTCTTAAGACTTTAAACCGGTGTACGCTCTTCAGAGATCTATAATGGTTGTATCCGGGGACTAAAAAACGGAAAATATCGAGCTCGGACTCGGTCTTGTGTGGTGGAAAACCGCTGAAAACCGCCAGCGGGAAAAGCGGCCTTAATCACAGGACCGAGGCCACCCGGAGACACCAGGCAGGCCCCCCTGGCTATGAATCCTCACCAGAAGGGAGGAGCCCTAATATCTTATTATAAGAATCTTACACTATATACAAGAATTAAGACTAAATAGCCCCTTATAGTTATTATCTTCCTGTCTGAACTCTAAGTTAAACCATCCAGTTTCTATATATGGAAGCATTGGGCTCATTCTCGTGGTTTATTAATGCGGTACTAGAGGTAGTTTCATTTAAGTGCGCTCACCAAAACACCATGATTGATGATTATTTTAACACTTCCTAAAGTACTACACTGTTTCTGCGACCGTCGCTGTAGTTGCCAACCTAAATACTCTTTCGAGAGGTCTTACTAGCATAAACAACACAATGCTTCTCTTCTTAGTTAGCGAACATGTCGCAGCCTGTAACAAACAATAACCTTAATCCTGTTCGCAGGATTTTTAAATATTTTAAGACTTTTCAAGCCAAAATTCATTAAAGAGTGCTGCCATTCGTTTCTAATGTAGTCATTATGCAGTAGCGATCGTGGCGTATATACCTGCCCTTCTTACCTTGCTTGGTAAACTTTTTAAAGGGAAACGCTGTTGTGGTGTTCAATCATTTTTTCCTTATTCACCAGTGTAGCCGGTTTAATGGCCCCTGCTATACAATGCTCACTAGGACAAGGCACTGATACTCGAAAATTACCGTCTTCAGCTCGCCAGGTAAGCGGTTGGATCGCTACCAGTTTAACAACAGGGGTTACCAGCAGTGCTGCCCCGACAGTGATGTGCAATCAGTCGATTGTTTTAGTTCGTAAGGACTAGGAGAACTGTCTTCGATGCCTTCCGTAGCGCTATTCAAAAGGAATTAACCGGCGATTTAAGTTCAGCTAAGCGCTGTTGGAAGATGACTAACTTTTTAACGGACCGTACCCAGCATGTTCCCCTGCTCCGGCTTCGTGTCTAACCAAAGCGTTAACCCTGACTTTAACTTAATGGGTCAAGTACTTTCAGTCCGCGCTCATTAGCGAGAATCTCAAGGTGCGGTTATTCCGCTAAGAATGTTCGCTGTTAACCTTTTGGTATTGAACAGCTGTAGCACCGTTTATAAATTAGGCACAGAGAGAGAAAGGCAGAAGTGGGCGCCAGGGGGCTGAAACTGTGAGCACAAATATGGGTTTCTATCCAAGTAAGTAGATGATGATTCGAGTATATAAATCGATTTTAACTATAAAGTTAACGCTTTCTCTTATAGTATGAAGTTGGCCTTGGCGGTGTACGTTATTAAGTTTAAAAGTTAAATGTTATTAAAAAGAGAGGATGGCTTTAGCCAACAGCGTCTGTGGCAGCGTTCCCCGAGGTCTTAACTCCTGCAGTTCATGTTTCCTGTTTTAAATTACTTCTGCAATTCAAAATCAAAGGCATAGAATTACTGTAAAAGGGTCTTAAGTCCTTCAAAATCCCTAGCATACATACCGACAGATTTGTGCTCGTCAGGATTACTAAAAGTTGCTTAAAGCTTCTTGTTGTAGCCGTTGAATAGCTGTCAATTCACGGGCGGCATAAGCTTAATAGAGAATGGACAATGCTCTCACCTGGAAGTGCAAGAGGAATGTCATGGAAATGTTAAGGTTTAAATGGGCTCCAGCTCTGTCTCAGGTCTTTATGTTAATATTACAACCGCTGTCACTACTGGTCATGACTCTTAGTGGCCCTCGCCGTATTGACGTGCCAGGGTAAAATTTTGCACTGAGTTATCTCCTCTAATAACTCCTCCTTCTTTTACGTGGAGTTGGAATACAGTTAAATGCCACTGTCATTGCCACAGCATTTAGGTATAGGTCTAGCACTATCGTTAACAGATGCTTTGTGCACTTTTTAATACTGGTGAATGCATGCACCTCTTTACTACGTGTAAATGTGTCACTGCCTACAGGTTTGCCTTAACGGTAAATTAGTTGCAGTTGCAAAAGATGAAGACGAAGATGAATATCCTTTTTTCTGAAAGGTTTCAGCTACAATTCACGCAGAACGCCTAGTAGAAGTAGTATTTATCCGTCGTTGGCTAAATTACTGTTGAAGCCGAAATACGGGTAGTCCTCCGCTTGATTAAGGGATGGATGGTTTCTTCACTACTTTAATCCGAACCTTGGCCTTAACACTAATTTTTTTTTACTAAAGTTCCTCTAAGCCTACGAGAACATAGAATGCTTCTTTATTTAGAATTTTATTATCTAACAAATATAATTAATAATAATAAAAACGATGATAGTGTCTCTTCGGAAGCCTCGAAAAGACGTTTGATTAAGTGTCGCATC